ATGTTGCTCAAAAGAAAATATTGAAAATGAAAACGTCTCCGATTATTTTATTTCCAATTAAGCCAAGCCGCAACTGCCTAGTCAAGCGCGCTTTTCTGCGGGGAACGGAACCTACGAGTATACAGGTGCGTAGCCAAATTCCACGACGGAGCCTCCGTCACGGCCTCCGTGCCCAGAGCCTCCGTGCACGGAGCCTCCGTGAACGGCGACAACTTGGGCGATTTTTTCGAGAGTCGATCGTCCGTCGGGCGATGAACCGCGCGAAGAGGCTTAATACGTTGAGCAGATCGCAGCGTTCACGCACATTGCGAGCGGTGAACAGTAGAGCTGTAGTCGATCGTGTTTTGAGGCCAGGCTATTCGTAGCGGAAGCTCGCGCTGCCACCTCGATGCATGCTCTGAAGCGCGCACCCACCCGGTGGCAGCCGGACGGCGATCTGACTCGACCTCGATAGGTCCCGCAAAGAATTCCCGAGCTGAATTCACCGTGTACTTTCACGTAACACTGAACTTGGCGAACACCCCGTCGTCCATGCTGCGCCAGTCGAGGCGACCGGTCTTACCATTGGTGCTCCCACCGAGATCTCTCGAGAGTATCCTGCCAAGCCCGCTATCCCGCAACGCAAAATCCCCAGCGTAGCTCTTCTACTGCGTTATGTGCACTCCTGACCCGCAATTTCTTTGTGAACGCAAAGGCTTTTGCGTACGGTCCACTAAAACAGCCCATTATTAGGGAGTTGTAGTAGATCGTTTTTCTCCTCCGCTACGGTATCCCCGAAGAAAACGCCGCAACTGCGCATGCGCGCCGCCAGCCTTGTCTGCATAGTTCAAGGTCCTGAGGCGGATTACGGAGCGCTATCCGGGTGCGTAGCGGGCTGCGGGAAAGGTCTACTACAATTCCCTATTATTAGGGAGTTTTCGTAGACCGCGTTTCCTCCTCCGCTACGGTGTCCGCAACGAAGGAGTTGCCACTGCGCCTGCGCGCCGATAGCCTTGAGTGTAGAGTTCCGGGTACCGTAGCGGGTTGCGGAGGGCGTTGCGGGACGGCCCGAAAACGATCTACGAAAACTACCTATTTACACGAAGTTTTGCGGCGTTACGAGCCTCGTTAATTTCGCTCAGGCCACCAAGGCAGTAAGGCATTGCTAGGAGGACGTCGACAATTCCAACGCGAAAAAGAGAACGGGGACTCACACTAACGCCGACAACATCGCATTCCAATGGTTTGTTGATGCGGGACGGAGTTCCGTTTATGAAATCTGATATCCAAGCAGGGTTAGAAGTAAAGCAACGCGGTGTAAGTAGACTGGCGTTGGGAGAGCATGGTGAAACATCAAATTAAAGATTGCAAGGTGATATGGAACGGTCATCACTTTAAGCACAGCTTATCGAAGATTGAAGTTTCGCGGATAATGGTAGACGAAGGGTGTGCTTAGCAGCGATATGAGATTCTTTTGCCCTTCTCCATCGATTACGAATTTAATCGGGGATTAGTGAATTTGAATTAAATGCTTTGACAAGTTGGTGCAAGCCGTCACCTGAATTAGAGGGTTTCGCCGTATTCCTCGATCTATCAAAACAGGAGTTGGTGTATCAACGCCACAAACCGCGCCGCCCCAAGAGCAAAGAATTTTGATGTCAGCACGTCGGTTATTTTTTTGTTTTTAATGGTTTCTTAGCTTGTTTGGACCATGCCGCGCATGCCCTTTCTGAATTTTTCGTTGTCACTTGGCCGCGAATAAAACTAGTGGAAACTTACGCTTGTCTCTGTTTGCGTATACACGTTTACTCAGTACCACAAATAAGCTAGACCAACAACGAGTCTCGCTAAGAGGAGACATCCGTGGCTTCCCACGTGCTCATCCTTGCCAGACAGCTTATCTAAAGTCGACGAAGCCACCCGTCAACCGACGGCTCCGATAACACCTGCTGCCCCCGCCCAGAGACACCGCGCTCCTCACAAGTTCGACGGACTTCCGAGGAGCCAAAAGTTGTGCGCAGAAATTAATACACCGTTCGAATTTATATCTCCACAGCACGCGATGTTGAGAATTGTAGGATCATCTGCTCCGTTCGTTGTTGTGGCGGCGCGTGTTCAAGAGGCAAAACGAGCTTCTCGATCATAAACAAAAACAGGGCTTTAGGTAAATAATGCCGAATGCGCAGCCAGTCCTCTTGTGCGCAGCCGTGTGACGCTGATCTTGGGCGTTGTCAGACGTGGAAGGTGGCGTCACTGCAGGTTTGCACCTATAACGCGTCCAGGTCAGGGCCATCAGCCAAAAGGCGGTGTTCATCCTTCTCCAATTACATCGTGCTCTTTTAGAACGGAAGGGCCGACAGACAAGATACAGTCCCTTTATTTCAATGCCCTCAGGGCCAACAGCATTACAGAAGGGAAGGGGACGCTTAAAAAAAAAAATAGCATGTAAACGTAACTATATCAGTAACAGCTTAAAAGTGAACGACGGGTGGAATGTGTTACGCACTTTACAAAGTTGATCGAGACCGGATGAAATATAAACGCGTAAAAAGATGTTGACTCAGTGTGAAAGATCTTATGGAAGAGAATAGAAAAGACGCAAAGCAAGGTTAAGAGTGAGATGACGGTTGGAGCCTGCAGACACTGCTGTGCCGGCGATCTTCGAAAAGTCCCAGGGGATCCCCATACCGTGCCACCAGTTATTCCGGTCCAAGTGTGGGACGTAATCCCGAACGGATAGAATCGTTAATTATACGTTAGGTACTTAATATAATGGCCGACTGCACGCTTCCGCGAATTATGAAGTTGGCGGTTATCCCAACCATCACAACTGATGAAAGTGCTGACCGGTATGTTTCGGTGGCCGTCACGACCAGGATTTGTCTGCCGTTACTTCACGCGTTGTGATCCTGGCTCCTTAGTATCAGCTGCGAACGGCAAGTTTGAAAGCGCGTGCGAACATTACGCTGGAAGCTCGAAGTCAACGCATTCTTCAACCAAAACTGCCAAAGCTGACAATCTGAGATCACTTTATTTTCGTCAACAAGAGCAGAAGTGATCGCACTTCAGACGTCATAGTGAACATTTGACAAGTCGGGGAATAGTATCTGCTGTCAGGGGAAGCCGTCTGCAGCGAAGCTTTTAGTCGCGCACGCCGCCCAGGAACGTATTACAGATGTAATTTCGTCAACAATTTTGTTATGACTTATGAACTGTCTGCCGCGTTCCGAAAGCGAGCATTTCAAGGCGCCGCATGACACCCTCAAGTTGGTGGCGCAAAGAAGCTTACAAATCTTATCATGCCGACATCGAACAATAAGATGGTGGATTAACGTCACGTAAACATCCCCTATCGCTATATATTCAAAAATGAAATAAAAATACGGGCATTTCAAGAACGTTTTCAGTCAACACCCGTGTTATGAAAACAGAGGCATAAGATGGATACCATGTCAATACAACTTATATAAGCTTGCAAAACAACAAACAGGTATCTGTTGAAGAGTTTTGATAGTTCAAACACATTTCCATACTGTCGAATGCAAGCAGTGTGACGAAGTATGAAACTACTGCGCCTAACTGGAGTGAGGCGATACCAACGACGCGATAGCGCAATCGGCGGGCTGCGTGACTTCGAGGAGGGTCAACCGCGCGGCTGCCGCTATCAACCCAGCCCCGTGTGCTAGAGGCGATGGAAAACCCGAATTTAGAACGAATGGTGCCCACCACCGCGCTTAAAAAAAGTCAGACAAATATATATTTGTATATATATATAAAAAAGCAAGAGGCCGTTCATTGCAGGCGGTTCGCGCAACACGCGGCGACGTCAGCCCGCGGGCTACAGGAAAGAAACACCGTGCCGAGTTCTTGCGCCGAGGCAATTATTCCGCAGGAAACGGCTGCGTTGTTTACCGGCCACGACGACTGAACTGCCCGTGGTATACAACGCAGATAACTGATAGTTGCCGCTCGTCAAGTGTGACTGCACGGAAGCGCTCGCTTGGCGTTGAGTCACCATCATGAGCTCAGAACTTGCGACATGAGCTGGTGAATGAATAGCTCAACTTTTTTTTCTTTTTTTTTTTCTACGCAGTTTCGAAAACGAATGCGATCTGGCGCTTCAGTTCACGGTTTAACTTGCGTTAGATTGATTGATTGACAGAGAGAACTAACCTTTGCGGCGTGCTTCAGCAATGCCGCTCGAAGTGGGTGCGATACCTATCCGCTGCCTCCACCGACTGCAATAGGCTTTTGGCGACGCCAAGTTTCGCAAATAAATTAATAACACGGACGCCCAGGCAGTTCAGAGCATCGAGACAACGCCTATGGCTCGGAGTACATCACAACGAAGGATCGAGAAAACGTGTTTTCTTTGCGGAATAAGTTCGGGATGAAGCCCTAACACCCGTCGACGTTTGATTCAGGGGAGAAGGCGAGATGCGAAGCTGTTTCGGGGTGCCGAAGCAAGTCAAGGTGTGCTCTGTCGCAAACTAGCGCCGGGGTTAGGACGGCGGGGAGATGAAAAGGCAGCGCACTTACCCAGAGCTCCAGTCCCCAGCTCATGTTTTCATCGGGAAATATCCACGGGTGGGGTGGTCACAGTACGACGCCAAATGCCAGGAAGCGCACAAAATCTCTCGTAGTATCACAGAGGATCGATCCACCAATCGTGTATCCTTGGCGCTTCAAATGCACGTTAGTTCTTCCATTTCGACAGCGGCCAGCACTTTTTTTCTCCAACACACAGATCAGAAAGCAATCCGTCCTCCCCAAAATGGCCGCCGCTCTGAGGAAATATGGCGACTTCTGGTGGAGACGTTTCGCAACAATTTTTCTTTATTCCTTCAGATTTCAAACGAGTGATCTATCCAATCCCAATTAAAAATTAAGTCAAAATATAAAACCTAAATCAATTGTAATGGCCTCAAAAATCAAAACTAAATATTAAAATCAAACGAACTGTTGTTCGCCGGAACCCGGAACTGGCCGTAACTAGCCGGATATTGTCGGATTGTGTAGTGGATTACGGACGTTGTTGACACAATTGCGCCCTCTGTAATGGCGGTTGCGGGTGCTGGTGGAGGTGGTTGTGAAGCTTCCGGAGGCACGGAAGTAATTATTTTGATCTCGGACTCCGGATCCGATGAAGACCGGCTGGAACGCGATGTGAGTAAGGTTTGCACTATTTTCTCGTTATTAAGGGCTGCAAGTAAACACACGAACAGCCAGCGTCCTTGGAACGCAATAAAATGCTTAGATGGGCCAGTTGGTACATCAAGGGAGGTGAGCGCCAAAAGAACAGGGACAAAGAATAGAATAACAGCGACACAGGGCGTTCTGTGTCGTTGTTATTCTACTCTTTGTCCCTGTTCTTTTGGCGCTCATTTCCTTGGAACGGTGCTGAGCTATCTTTGCATTGCGTTTTAAAACCTAAGGGCCAAAACACGCCGTAAAAGTTTACATTCCTGCCGTTAAGTTTCCTTAAAATTGCTGTATTCAACCCAGTTCCCGATATCCTTCTGTAGGTCTCAGTTAAGTATATAGCATCATAATCTAAACCCCGAGACAAGGATCAATAAAATAACGGGCAAGACGACACATGATTTCGGCGGGAGCGGACGTGTTTTCGAGCTGCAGTCGTCTTGCCAAGCTAAGTATTTTTTTTCTTGGTATCTTGGAGGCAGGGCTAAAAAGAGGGGAAAAAGGAGTGTGAGGATAGAGTGGAGCGCGTCATCGGTGTAATTAGAGTAGAGAAGGGGAAGAACGAGGAAGGAAAAGCAATGATGGCAGAATCACAGGGCATTCTCAAAGTAGAGGTAGAGAAGAGGGTCGACCTACAAGCACAGTGGGAAGAGATGAAGAGAGAGTCGACAGCGACAGTAGTGTCTATGGTTCAGGGGGCCAGAAAGGGAGCGAGCAGTGCGGGCACGAAGGAGGTTCCTAGGACCTATAGTGAAGCCGTGCAAAAGGAGAAGGAAACGGCTGGATTGGTAGAGCTAGGGTGACCAGACGTCCCGTTTTGGCCGGGACAGTCCCGTTTTTGAGGTCCGCTTCTGCCGTCCCGTCTTTTTGTTCCAACAAGGAATCATGTCCCGTTTTCACAGGAGCGCATAGTTTCGAAATTGGCACAAAGCTAGTTGAAGGACACCGAAACTGTGCCTATTCGTTACAAGATATATTTTATAAAAATAACCGTAGGTACTTTAAAATATTTACCCAGTAAAATTTAGAGAACTGTTCTTGCCCACAAACACTTTTTTCTGAGGCGAAGACTCGTGTGTAGAAATACTTTTTTGAGTTACTGAATACAACACGCATGTAGTACGTTAACGTTTTGAAATATCAGTTCTTGCATTAAATTATTTCTCCCAATCTCAATCTTTATAGACCAACACGCGGCCCTGACGTCACGCAGCTGCGGTGGCGCTGTCGACGGCACTGCGCATGCGCAGACGCTTCACTTCATGCGAATTTGGCTTCTGCGCATGCGCAGTGCCAACACCTGGTGTGGGCAAACGTGGGCTTGTTTGTAAACAGCGTGTCGGTCTATAGTACACCCCTCGCCCCCCCCCCCCCCATCCCCCCCCCCCCTCTCGGGTGCTGGGATGTCCCGTTTTTTACCTTGAGGAATATGGTCACCCTAGGTAGAGCCCAACCTGCTGCCGGTGGTAAATGGAGGGGGTAGCAGTGTAGTGCCAGGAGAAGGAGGGCAGCCGTCGGCTGGTAGGAGAGTCCTAGTAGTGGGAGACTCCAACGTGGCGAGGATCGTAGAGGGAGTGCTAGGTAAGGTGAAGGAGGACAAGAGGGTGCGAGTAGAGGCCCAGCCAGGAAAATACATGGTAGATGCCATTGCCAAAGCAGAAGAGGTATTGTGGGACAACATGGAGGGGGAAAACCTAGTGTTGATCCACGCAGGACTCAACGACGTGTTGAACGGGAAAAGCCAGAACCTGGGAAAACAAATAGAGGCAGGACTGGGTAAACTAAGAGCAGTCAGTGAGAGGGTTCGTATGGAAATATGCACTATCCCACGTGTGCGGAGACAGTCTCTTGACATCGAGAGGCGGGTCATTGAGGCTAACCGGGTGATAAAGGGGATGAGTCGACGGCTTGAGTATGGCGTAAATGAGATAAACTGGGAAGTTTATGCGGCTGACTCCTGCCCTTTTACACGGGGTGGAATCCACTACAGCCCAGACACAGGTAGGAGAGTGGGAGAGAGGCTGGGTCGGCACGTTGCAGCTTTTTTGGGGACCCACAGAGCCAGGAGGGCACCGGTGTAGATGTATGAATGCCATCTTGTACCGGTACCATAGTCGGAGGAAGCTCCTGGGTGCGAATACTGCAAGAGCAGGAGAAAGCTCCGTAGAAGTAAGAGAGAAAATCAGCTCAACATAGGGTTCATAAACATGCAGGGAGGGAGAAACAGAATAAAGTGGGAGGAGATCGGTGAACAATTAGAGGCTGAAAAGTTTACAGTGTATGGGGTGGCAGAAACGCACCTTAGAGATGAGGAGGAACCACCGTTCCTCCTCATCTCTAAGGTTGGTTCATCCTGCATGCAAAAGGGAAATGAACCGCTCTTCGGGTTCTTCGGGGACAGAGATGTGTGACCTGAAAAGCTTTGTGGCCTGAGCACATCACGAATCGGTCAACAAGAGGAAATCTGGAGACATAGGGTTCCCAGCAACTATGTGTTGGGGCTGCATGACGTCATCAAAGCTTCATACATTCGTGTGTGTATATAAACAAAGCGGGTTCTTACCGGGTCTCCAGGGAAGACCGACCAGTCCCGAGGTTTATCGTTAGAGTTCTTCATTGCCGTCAACGTGCGTACGAAAACATGCAGAGAGTTTCAAAATGGCCCGCCATGTAGCATTAGGACTGTTTTGTAAAGCTGGAAAAATCTAACTTATGTGAAGCTTGGCAGCAACAATCATTGCATGCAGGCAACATCAATTTGCATACAAACAGATGTCGTGTGAAAACTATGCATAGCTTCAACACTGCAAGAAGGTTTGGTTTCTTGAGAGCCCGGGCACTGTGAAGTTTATGAACAATGCAGCGCTGTTTGAAACCACCCTTCGTGCACTCTTAGTACGACAACTGTTTCACGCTTATGGCCAAAGCCATGGGCATGTCTGGCAGTGTGCCTCCTTAGCCAGCCACCCATCAAGTCAGTGAACTGTCTCTGTTTTTTTTTCTTCTAGCCCTGCGCTCCTGTCATAAAGCTTGAGGTAACTATTTCCCCATTTTTCACTGTGCACCATTCACTAGCCACCATTCACTGGCCACCATGACTGAGTGTGGTGTTCACAAGGCAGGCTCAGAATTAGCTCCCACTTCTGAGAAGAACTAGAATCGGTGGTGTGCAGTGCATATTGCGGAAGCGTTGTGGAAGCTCATCTTAATCTTGCGCTGAGCTGCAACGGACTCAACAATGGCCGCTAGTGAAAAGCACCTATAGGTTGCTGCCTCGCCAGTTTTTTATAGAACCAGAGACGTGTAGTCTGACAAGCCCTGTGGCCTTGGCGCAGTAGGAATAGGCCAACAAGAGGAAATCTGGAAGCATAGGCCCCTCCCCCTCCCTACCTTCCCGTTAAATTCCAGACGTCTTTTCAAAACGCTTATGCTGTAGAATGAGATACACATACCATCCTTTCTTTACCGCGGGTCGCAGGGGGATGAGGTAGAGTGTTTTCCAAACTTAGCTCTGCCACAAGATGGTCTTTTTTTGGCATGTTTTGTGCTATTCCTGGGCCCACCGGTCAAACTATGTGCTGAAGTTTGGACACCCCAGTCACAATCCAGCCTGGGGAAAAAAATTCCAGCTGCTGCAGTCACCAATTTAGCTTTGAGTAACTGGCAATAGATTAGTATTTGACAGCATTAAGTTTGAGGAGCACTGTGCATGTGCCATTCCTCTCTCATTGTGCAGTTGGCGCAATAAGAGAAGAACACGCGCCGCAGCCTTGGTGATCCCTCGCAAGAGGAAGGAGCAGACTGAAGAGCTAGCCGAATGGAAGCGGCAATGTGCCGATTACGACCGTGCTCGGCTTGCCAAAGAGACGCCGGAAATACACTGCGACTCTTAGCGAGGGATAGAAAGGGCGGCGCTTGGCCAGGGATGGAGAAGCAAGGCGGGCTTGTTCGATTACGACGGATAGTTACGTGAAGAAACGAGAGGGCGACATAAGATTGTGCTGCAAGAAGCAGGCCGCCAGTTTGCAGGGGTTTGGTTTTGTGTGGGGAGTGTGTGGTCACCCCTCGTAGAAGAAAAACAGTGCCATTGCATTTCAACGTAGTTTGAAACAGAGCACTGCAGAAACACAACCCCTGTTTGTTTGCTTTGTTCCTTAGTTTTAGTTAGAGGATGTTTTCATAAATACTCACATCACTGTATCAGAATCTGAGCATAATCTCTGCTTCCACAGGTTAAAAGAAAAACAAGCATTAGGCTCTTAACAATCTCAAACACCCCAAATTAAGGGTGATAAGGTAACTTTCAATATATGACTATGCTGCCATATGCATTCATTGAGCCTGGGGAAAGGCATTGAATGTCAGTGCTCATTAAATCAAAGGACCGACAAAGATAGTAGTCTAAGCTGGTCGGAGGAAATTAAAAAAGGTACTTCCTGGAAGCCCATGGTATTGATGTTTCACTGAGTCCCTTGGCTTGTTCGGGGCTTTTGTGAAACGTCAGTTGCCACCACGTGGTTTCGAGAATTTTCTTTTCAAGTACACTAGGTGCCACAGTACCCTAGGTTGAGATAACTTTGTTTAAACTTAGATTTGACCCAAAGCAGCCTAGAGAAAATTGAAAGAATTCAAACAAAACTGCAGTGGTTCATCCGGACGCTCCGTTTAAGTGGTCCAGGGATGGTGAGCCTTCATTGACAGTGACCGGATTATCATGGCATGGAGAGGGAGAGCGTCATGTGAAACTGCCTGCTCGGACCGCTAGCAATTTGGTCCGATCGGTGCAAATTGCAGGCGGGGCTTTAGTAAACAGGAAAACCGGTAAAATATCAACTCAGGGTCAGGGTATCAGGGTCATCAACTAGTTTTGTTTTACTGTTGGAAGACATTGTAAAGACCAAAGGTGACAAACAATTTTTCAGTGCATCGCAAAAAGACAAACACCCTGACCTAGTGCCTGCTATCTGGAGCTCTTCTGTCTCTCTTTCACATCTTTCTTGGGACCGATTTGTGACTTGCCGCTCTCCACTGCAGTCCTTGCCGCCCTTTATACATCTGCTGTCTAATAAATATCACAAATTTTAATTACAAGCACTAGTTGCAAAAGAAGGGATATGGCCACCATGTATTCTAAATGAACATCTAATTTAATCTGTTGGTAAAAAAAAGAAAGGGGGGGGAGAGGGGGGGCTCACTTTTGATGTACTACAGAAGTCAATCTCCTGTCCACTCTTTTGCCACTCTCCAGGTTTAAACTGTCTAGCAGAATTCTGTGCACTTGTAAGTCAAAACAGAGCATGCTTTTTCTGTAGTCTACTTTTTTTTTAGAAATGACCGGCGCCACTTGGAAGAAAACGGGGTTCAGGAGGTTCTGATATGAAAATATGTGCACACATGCCCAAGCGAGCTCGGGCACTCTCTCAACCACTGAAGCGAGATGCGGCTGGCTCTTGAGCTGCAATGACCTAGATTGGGCTCCCCCAAAGTCTTTTTTGTCCTTATTGTGGCTTATCTTTTTGCCCCCAAGTTTGCTGTAGGGTGCTCCTTCCCTTTTCATACCAGAACCTCCTGAACCGGCGACTTTTTGACGACGTCTCACCCTTTCTTGTGCAGTGATTTCACTCCTATGTTATCTGGTTTTAGGATAGCGAGCATGCTCCTGTCATCTTGTAACTAATACTAATGTAGTAGTAACTCGTCCCGAGTTATTGAGCTTGTTGCCAGTTTTGCTGCATTCTTTCATTCTTTTGCAGAAATCTGAGAATGGCCACGACCGAGACTCACCTTCACTGTTGCAGAATGGACATAAACTGGTAAGTTTGGCCCGGTCTCCATGACGATCCAATATTGTATGACAAATCTGCGCAACTGGGTAGTTTATCATGTCACACCAATTTGTTTAATGGAACTTGGTTGTTTTTGGCTTGGCTGTAGCTGTTTTCAATTACAGTCGACATTCAAACCGATTGTAAACAAAGAAAACGGTGTGTTTGGGCAAGGGCTACGCATGGGCTGAGTGGGACGCCATGCCAGTTGATCAACTTTGTGATATAGATATTTGTCCAGGGAGTCGAACCGGTCATTATTCTGGCTCGGGTTCAGTGGTATTGCATTTTGTTCCGGTTCATTTTTGGGTTCAGTGATGAGTTCAAAATAACGGTTCAGTTGCCGGTTCTACCAAGTACGATCCAATACAGACTCTCCTAAAAAGAAAAGTCCACAGCTCTCTGTCGTTAAGCAGATGTGTTTGACACAACATCATTTGTGCTAAAAAAAGAAGAATGAAGGGGATAGAAGCTGTGCTGGGGAAACAAAGGGAGCAAAACAAATATATACTTAATTTTGTTGTGCAATCTTAATTTTTTTATTGCAAACACAGTTCTACGCAAACGAAGTGGTTGTACAGGTGCTCAGAAATTGTACCAAAGTACAGTACTCTCATGTGAAGAAGTCAGCTGGCACGCACTGTGAAGCCGTGACGGTAGCATGCACCAAATTCGCAAGCTACCCAGCACGCATTTTCAAACGCCTTTCTTTAGTGACCGAGTTCAAGAGGTAAAAAACAGTGAAGGGTGATCTGAAGATGATTAAAACAAAAAAAAGAGATAAAAAAACGGGTGGCACGCTGCGGAGATAAAAAAACGGGTGGCACGCTGCTTTTATATATGCACAAAAAGGAAAAGAAAGACTCCTTTAAAGAGGTGTTTCGGCCGTTTTATGAGCTACCCAAGCAAATGAGATCTTCTGACAACCCGGACTTTAGTCTTCACAGTATGCTATTTATTTTTCTCAAAATTCAAAGTGGCAATTGAGAAAACTGCAAATGAAGATGATGCCGAAACCAGCATTCAAACTTCAGTGCGCTCTCAAGTGGTGTGACGCCACAAATGGTACAGACTTTCAGGTTGTACAGGCAGTTTTAAATAGAGTATGTTGAGTGTTTTTTGCATGCCTCTCAGCGAATCAGCTACCGAGCATTCTTTTCCCACCATCAAACCTCTTGTAATCAGTTGGGAACATGGCTTGCTGCCTCCCTTGTACCATTTCTGTCGTCACACTTAATGCTGCCAGTAGCGGCTCCCGATTTGAGAAACAAGATGAAAACGAAATTCGAAAATTCAAAAACTTCGCGAAATGTTCTTTTTTTCTATCACACAATACTTGGGGAACAGGTACAGCCGTGTCAATCGTTGTGTTGAGCCAATTTTGAGGCAAATCAGCGACAGTGAAAAAATTGCGGGAGTACCCCCATTTTGGCGCTTATTTTGTGGTCTATGTCTGTTCAAAGGAGCGGTCTCACATGGGATACACCAATATCTCGCTAAAAAAGACACCAAAAAGGAATTTAAAAACAAATTAAACAATTAGCAAAGAGCACCTGGTGGATGTCGCTAAAGCCTCGTTTGTAGTGCCCGTCTAGGAACCTTTACAGGTAGTGACTATAGCTGTCTCACCTAGAACTATACACGCTTTGAATCTGACGTCATCCTGACAGCTCTACGGCCAGCACAGGAGAAGAGGGGAGGGAGGAACTCCCCACTCAATGGGATTCTCTTTTGACTCGCTTTGGCCGCTTCGGTGGCTGGAACGGCTAGGACATCCTCTCGACGTCAGCCTCGCTGGAGTTTTGCTCGTCCCGAAATAATTACGTCACGATTGCGGCGAATGTCACATGCTCTCCTCTGGCTACTCTCCAAGCGCTTGCCAGAGTGGGCATTTTATAACAAAGAATACGGCTATCGGGCTCAAAATACAGACACGCTATTTTCATTTACATATTGGATCATATTCAGCCTATTTCTGAACACGACAGGTGTATTTCAAATTTCAGCGAACTATCCCTTTAAGGTTCGTTGGCTGTCTTCCTTAGATTATGAGCTGTGACACTTGGCAGAAGCGTGAGGAATTGCTTCGCGAGTTTCGCTGTCAGTGTAATGTTTTTAGATGTTTTTCTTTCCTTGCACGGCTCGTGATTGAAATACTAAATTGCCTCACAGCGTGGCAGGCATCACTCTGTTTTCTCTCTCTCTCTTTTGTAGTGAGATAGATAAATTGCTCCTTTGTTGCAAAGAACTAGGCATTTTTTATGCTTCGTTTGCTCGAATGCGCATACTTATTTTTGTGTCATGGATTCATACCTTGGCCCTCAAAAGCTGGCCAACAGTATCTTTAAATATAAATCAAATATGTGTCATTTCTTAAGCATAATCTTTCTTCTGTTCCAGCCAATTGTACCTGTCATAAAGCCGGAGGTAAGGGTTCCGTTTGATGGCTCTATATTTGAACTCTGAGACATGGGAAAGTTCACCAAATAGTAGATACAAATAAATATATAGATACAAACAAAAAAATAGATACAAATAATAAATACAAATACTGAAGTGCAGGAAATTCAAATTCTCCCATTTTTTAAAACTTTTAGAAACAGCGAAAAAGCTAAAGCTTTATATGGGAAAGCACACCAAGTACTAGATACAAATAAAAAATAGATACAAATAATAAATATAAATACTGAAGCACAGGAAATTCAAATTCTCCCATGTTTTTAAACTTTTAGGAAGAGCGGGAACTTAAAGCTCAACCCAACAGGAAAATGTACAGACAGGCCTCAGATGGGAGTGTCGTGCTCATGAGAGCCGAGACTGTGATTGGCGGGGATTGCCGTGCATCATAGCCCACCTTTATTTACCTAGTTTTTAATGCATGTTGAAACTAAATTGTGTAATATACGGATAAAATAAAGTTTATATAAAAAAAAAAGCATTGCATTATATAAATGAAAGATATTTTTGTCAATGAAATATTTCAACCTCTGTGCATTGGCTAGTCGTGGTCGCCTTGGTATTTAGTGTAGGTGGAATCGAGCAAAGACAACGTTGCTTGAAAGCAGTGAGGGTCACTGCTTTCAAGCAACATTGTTATTAACCCTTTAATCGTTTCCAGTTTTTGGGAATTTTTGACGCTCAACTGCTTAATTGCTGTCTCAATGTCAAGGTTGTTGCCTTCAAAATCAGATTTTATACACAACAAAAGAAAAGCGAAAATTACAAAAAAATTAGGATGTCATCTGTTGCACTGCTATAAACTAAGCCACGAGCGAGCCTGGTTTGTCCAAAACAGTTGAGTGCCTGAACCAGGGAAAGCAGACTAGCCATACTCGTCCTGGACGGTTTGGGGACGGCTCAATGTTGGCGAGCTAGGCTCGTCCAAAATGTCTAAGGGGATAAAGGGACCATGCAACATTTTGGCTCAATAATTCTGGGAATGGGCTACCATTCCATTCTGAAATGCAGGGTGAGAACGGCTTTTGCTTTGGCACATTATTTTTTATTGAAACAATGAAGGAGTTTGGATATTTGTTTAGTATCCCAAATGCTCACAGTTTTTTTTTAACATTGGCAAGGACACCGAGAAAGGCAAATGTCTATGCGAGAACAGGCAGCTGGTGACTGCATCCAAAGCGGTTGGCCTTTACTTTGAGCAGCATTGCATAAAAATGTTACGTCCCTTCTCTTTTTATTCTCGTTCTTCCTCAAACCATGTTGTCGACAAATCTTCCTGTTGTAGTGATCGGTGATCCTTGGCACACCTTTAACAGGAATTGTGGCCTACTTTGTCACATACGAAACTGCCATAGCTTGCAGACACTCGCAATTTTCCCAAGACAGGTGGCTCATTGTCCTTAAAAAGTGAACCTGGAAGAAGCAGGGGTGCCCCGGTCGTTTCTTCCTCGCAGTTGCGGGGAGCTGAGGAAGCGTCACGGCTAACGACGCATGTTTTTTTGTAGCTCCCGCAGGCAGACAAGCTTTATAATCGGACCCATTACAAGGTATCTCCAATGCTGCAGGAGATGACGGAGAAGGCCAACTGCGCCCTCACCAAGGTGAGCCTTCATGTCCGAGATAGGCTTCCCAATGACCTCGGCCAGGCGTTTCATTCTGTGATGGAGGAGCGACTGAATTACCCAAAGACCGCTTGTCGGCTTGGAGAACGGTATTGCCCGTGAGATGACCCGGTCCACGGAGCCTTATGGACTCCCAACTCATTCTAAGGAAATGACCGAATCAAGACGGTTTCTCGACAAAACAAGAGAACTAGCCTCGGACGTTCCTAGCAGTCTTGGCTCGAGCGAATGCAGCACTGCACGGTGACAGCCTTCCGCGTTTATGTGCAACGCACACATAATATTCACTCTGTGCGACGCGACCGGCGCGTTTCCGCGCAGTCATTACCGACGGTACGCAGTGAGTACTCCAGCAAAAGGAAACCACGCTGCATACATTGGTACACTTCGGAGTCGGAGCGGTGCAGTTGGGCTGGGTTGACGGCGTAAACTGCTGCGTCGTTAAGTGCTCCAAGAAGTTATGCGTTGTGTCTCGTGGGGACAAAGTTTCATCGTTTTTCAACTCGCCAATGTTTTGCAGGACAGCGACAACGATGGACATATGCCATTAAACACGAGAAATTTGGTCTCCCGACCATGTCTGCCACTGTGTCGGTACAGCTGACATATTCTACACTGCCGCCTTGTGTTCTGCGTTTGTTTTTGTACCAGTAACGTCTACATATGTTAGCACCGATGGGGTCAACTGAAATACCATCCCACACCCGGGGGCATGCAGTGCCAATTTCGTTGGAGGAGTGCCTTCTAAGGACTTTTTGTCCCTAGTGTACAGTCAAGGATCTTCCCGGACCAGTAGGGCATGCAGTCTCTACTTTATAATGAAAGATTGGAACAGTACAAAAAGTGACAGATAGGATTCTAAGGTAAACTACAATGAAACTTCGAGTCATTGGACAATCAACGTTTTTTTTTAATAACAGTTTATTTGGTATGCTTTCTTTTTGATCAGCCTCCTTTCGGATGTGAGAATTACGTTTCTTCACATATGGGGTTGCAGGTGGGCAGTAGGTGACTGCAATACGAAACACCGGACTTATTTTTTATCAAATTAGTGCAAAATAACTAGTACATCTAAAAAAAAAAAAAAAAATGAGGAAAAGTCAAATAAATCATTTTTTTCCTTTTGTTTAAACCAAATATATATATAATTTAAATTACTTTACCTAAAAAAACATAATTCGTTTTTCTTGAGTCTTTATTAGTGCGGTAAATGAATTCTTCACTTTGCCCAATCGCTGAAAGCAGTGTAAAAATATGAACTGCAAATTTCATTATATCATAATGTGCAGATTAATTCAAAAAATTTTTCTTAATATAAACCGCGTCATACACAAGCACTGCATTTTGCTCGTGTCCAGCATGCTATACTTTTTTTTTTGGCTGATGTTCTTTTTAATCGAGACAAACTAAATGTACATGGAAGGCAACAAATTACACACAAACAACCTTAATAAACATATTTATGGGAATAGTTTTGTGGGAAGTGATTTTTGTGAAAAAGATGCTCTTGTGGAAAATTATCCTAGTAATATTGGTGTGGCTTAAATCGTGGTATAAATGGACACTTACAACCCCCAAAATTTGTTTTTATTTTTTGTCAGGCGATTTATCATGGCGTTAGAAGACTACCCAATCAATATTTTGAACGGGTTTCACTGTCGAATGCCAGCTCATCCGCTAGCAGCACTACACGCGTTTTTCAAAGTGCCCCCTATAGTTCCCGCACAGAGTGTATAATCATTGGCAGGATTAAAGTGGCAGGAAGGTCCGTCAGTTACCCTGTCTCCAGAGCGAGCTTTCTAGCCTTGCTCGGGCCTCGAGCTCGCAAGCGCATCCACGGCACGACGAAAAGCAACGAGCTCATGCTGGATGCCAGGCTCTAGAAAGAAACGCATTTCTCATCGCCTCGTTTGCCGTTTTTGCTACGACAAGAGCAGGTTACGAATCGGGATTGCGGTTACCACGATCAGTACGGTGTTTCCAGAAATTTAAGTTTGCGACACTGCTGATCTTTGCGGGGTGTAACGAAGTTTGAACCGATTTAGTCTGTCTTGGTGTCCCAGGAATTCTGACACATTCGTGGCACCTGTCTCCTTGTCCCGCTCTGTGCTGGTGTCGGCACAGTTGGAACATCCAGACAGTCAATAATGTTAGCTGCCTTCGCATTCCTTCTCGAAGTCAGCGCAGCAAAAAAAAGCAGACGACGAGTCCTCGGACTGGTTTCGTCGAAATCTGCGAGCCCGCAGGTATACGCTCTGTGCGGGAACTATAGGGGGCGCTTTGAGAAACGCGCGCAGCGCCGCTAGCGGAGGAGCTGGCGTTCGACCGTGAGGCGCGTTCAGCAGCCTGCGGCGCCTTTTTGCATGCTAGGCTGTGGCGGCGGAAGCGCGCACGGACAAAACTTTTGCTTTTTGAGCCGATACGTTGAGGGTGACGTTGCATGAGTGCTGGTGCAGAAGGGCGTTTAGCTGTTCTCCACTTCTTATATATTGAGTTTGAGTCGTTATTAGGGGTAATTTCTCTAGTTGCAGCCGAAAAAGGAGTCGGAGCAATTTTCCAAAAAGCGAGACGGCCGCCACCATAATTGCTCTGAGTGGTAAATTTATTTTTCTCGTCGCTCTAAATGTAGGACTGCTGGAATGTTGATATTTGGAGGCAAGTGAGATGTTCACTAAGTTTGTGCACGAAGTGTGCCAAGTTTTATTAAGGCAGCAGGTGTGAAAGTTATAGTTCGAACGAATGAAGAAATAAAGCTGTAGGGATATCCAATGTTGGACCCAAAATCTTGTGTTATAGCGGGCTGTGCAAAGTGCAGATTTGGGCACACAGGTGCTTGGACTTGCCAGCAACATGACACAGTACTTATTATACCAAAAAGAGGTGGCATAGGGAAACCAGGTGGAAATTTGGTTTGGGCGGCGTGACTCAATGGGAACCGGTTTTGGACAATGAAAGGCGGTCAAGAGAATAGCACTGGTCGTGGGAGATGGAGACCTTACAGGTAGGAAGGGACTAGTAAACTGTATACTCCCAATTGAAACAACTTTACGAAAAGGTGGTTCTAAAGCCTAGAAAACAAAGTTGTCAGCCAACACACGGTTTGGCCGTCAAGGGCTTTTGCTTTAAGCTGTTGTGTAGTAACCTGTTGTGTGAGGTGCTGATTTTCGGCACACAGGTACTTTAACATGACCGTAACTTGACACAGCACTTGTTATACCAAAAAGAGTTGGCATAGCGAAACCAGGTGGAAATTTAGTTTGGGCGGCGTAACTAAATGGGAACAAGTTTTGACCATCAAAGGCTGTCAAGATAATACCACTCATCGTGAGAGGTGCACACTTTACAGGTAGGAAGGGACCAGTAGACGGTACTTCCAGTTCAAACAACTTTGCAATAGGTGGCTCTAAAGCCAAGAAAAAAAAATTGTCTCCAGAGCTCGAGGGGTCAGCGTTTCTACATCGAAAAGGAGGCTGGTCAAGAAAGAAAGCACACCACATAAACATCCATACTCAAACGTCGATTCTCCAGTGATTCCGAGTTTCATTGTTGTTTTCTTTAGATTCATATTTGTCACTTTTTTTTACCGTTCGAATCTTTCTTCGCGAAGTACAGATTGCGTGCCATACTTGTTTGGAAATATCATCGACACGTTTGATGGGGACGAAACTTCTTTGGAGGGCATTCCTCCAACAAAATTGGCACTGCATACCCGCGAGAGTGGGATGGCATTTCAGTTCGTCCCATCGGCGCTAACACATGTAGGCGTTACTGGTACGAAAACAAATGCAGAGTGCAAAAGCAGCAGTGTAGAATATGTCAGCCGTGCCGACACAGTGGCAGACATGATCGGGAGACCAAATTTCTGGCGTCGTACGGCACGAGTCCATCGTTGTCGCTGTCCCACAAAACATCGGCGAGGTAAAAAACTATGAAACTTTGTCCCCACGAGATGCAACACATAACTATTGAAGCACCTAATGACGCAGCACCGGCAGCACTTCATGCTTTGAACCCAGCGCAACCGCACCGCTCCGACTTCAATGCGTACCAACGTACGCCGGCGTGGTTTCGGTTTCGTTTTCTCTGGGGTTCTCACTGCCTACCTTTGATACCGGCCGCGCGGCGGCGCGCCACTCGCGTCGCACGGAGTGAATAGTCGCTGCTGGTATAATCACTGCCAGAGTGAGAACGGCATCTCTTTTGAACTCCTGCAGCATGCGCTTGTGGCCTTTCTCCATGCTCCGCTCAGGTTGTACGAGGTGCTAGAGCGTCGAAGGTCTTGCACAGGGGCAGCCCGAAGCTCCTCCTCTCACCTCCTCTGGGACTATGTGGCCAGAGGGAAAGGAGGAGATGAGAGAGTACGGGGACGTCGAAACACCGAGCTCCGGTGGGGCGATTAGGGGGTAGATGTAAAGTTAGCTGCCCTCATCTCCCCCCCATTTGTCGATCGCGGAATGCCGGCAGCCGGCAACTCTTTTGCATTCGACGAGTGTTGCGGAGACAAACGCAGCTGGCTTTACGTCTACTTCCTAATCATTCTAAGTGGAGCTCGATGTTCCTATGTCCCTCAGTTTACGTCCGCAGAGTGTGCAGGGAACGAGCGTTGTCCCTCCCTCTGCCCAGTTCCTGGAGCTGTGCACGCCGCTGATGAGCAGGGACGACCGGGGCGTCATCCTGAAGCGGGTGGACGTGCTGGTGCAGCAGACCAACCTGCACTACCTCGCCTCGGAACAGTTCCGAGGCCTGGTGGCCGACCTCACGCGCAAAGTGGGCGCCGACGGCGCCAACGTGTACGTGCACCTCAAGACCCTGACGGACGAACTGCGCGCCTATCGCGAGAAGCGGCCGAAGCCCAAGGGGACAACCGCGCCGTCGGCTTCCACCTCCGGGGACGCCGCAGCCGATCGTTCTGGGGGTGCGGCCGCCAACGAGACGACCACGGACAATGGCGGAACGACGTCGGCCAACGGGGAGGAGGTGGCTGAAGACAGCGGCACCGCTGCATCGAACGAGGGGGACGTAAAGGACCTTAAACGACAGAAGCAGATTCGGCAGCTGGAGAAGCACCTTCGCGTGAGTGTGCGGCTGACACTCGCGCAAAGCTCATGACACGCAAACTTTTACTGCTCATTCACACTGGAAGCGGATCCGCGTTCGCAAAGCGGTTGCAAACACGGTTGTATAAAGATTCAGTACAATTGCATGTGCACTTGATGTCATCGAGTGCGCGTGCAATTGTACTGGATCTTTAAACAACCGCGTTCGCAAGCGCTTTGCGAACGCGGATCCGCTTCCAGTGTGAATGAGCGGTAACTCCCCGTGCTCTGAGCTGCGGTGCACTGGTGGAGCGAAAGCTCGCGTACAGAACCCAGGAACCCTGGCCTCCATCCTCTCCTCTGCCTGTTTCAATTCGGATTAGCATTGTACCGGCAAATGGTCGTGTGTCACTGCTGCATGATGTGCGTTAAAGACCCCAGGCTAATGGTCGTACTGCACTGGCTAAGTTTCTCATCTACGGCCTAAACCAGTGTCGTTACACCTCCAAGACGGGGACGGCCTTAGGCGTATAAACACAAACGTCAGATTTGGAGCTACCTGGTCTGCCTGGCAAACATTTGCGATGTTTTCTGCGGCGCATAAGTGAGTCGTGAGTTGCGGAACCCTTGAGCCTCAGTCCCTCCCCTTTGTGAAACGACCGAGAAAAGGGTCGTCTTGACGAGTTAGAGCGTGGTGGTAACATTGCAAGAAATCGAAAGACGTCTCGACCCACCTTTGTCCTTTTTGTAGGTTTCACACTATTCTTGTAAATTGATTGTCACTTGGGAATGGATAATTGCCAGATGTTGAGGGAGGGGGGCACAAATTTAAAAAGTAGCTTAAGGAAAAGGAAAAGAAATAGAATGCTACACAGTTAATGCTTTCGCATTAATAAATAATATAAAGAAAGAAAAATCCAGCACAAAGCTCTCATGGAGTGTGGTTTGTGCGGGACAAAAAGCCGTAGTGCTGAGTGAGATGGCGTTATCAGCGAAGGCGAATGCTGGGCGCAGATTGGACACGACGATGGCATCAGCGTTCGGCTCCAACTTGACTCGAAGCCGAGGGCTGACGCAGCACTCGTTTCCCATCTGTGTCCAGCGTTGGCCTTCGCCAGTGCCGCAAAAATCTGAGCACTACGGCCTTGTCTTCTAGGCAGTGTTGCTGTCCTCCACGCCTGCGCCCTCCGTCCACACCTTCACCCTCCGCAAGCTGAGAAAAGAGTAGAGAGGAAGACGCTGCACCCACAGCTCCAGCTCAATTGTACATTGCAGTATAAATATTGTAATCACTCCTTTTTCACTAAGGAAATTAATATTGCGACGTGCGTAACCTAACCAGGCAGTTTAAAAGAAAAGAATGTTTTACGAGTGCGTTGTTCCTCGGAGATGAAACAGAATGTAGAGCCATATGACGATTTTTAACGGCTACGTGCTTCGCCAGTATTGCCTAGGAGACAAAGCCTGCACATTGCGTCATTGTTAGTGGATCCCCGACCCGCCCCGAGCAGCAAATACGCCGAAGCTCGGCGACAGACACCGCAAAGTGGCAGACGCGTCCGTCTTTGTGTCGTTGCGTACTAGCGTCGCACTCGCCCTTGAGAGGGTGCAGGACGCGACGCTGATGCAAGGTAGGAGGCGCCGCGTGGATCCACTGGCGACGACGTTTGGAAGGGAAAGGCCCTCTAGGTGGCATCGACCCCCGAAGCGTCACATCGTGCCTCTCCTTGCCCGCCTGCAGAAGCTGCACAGGGCCATCAAGAAGCTCCGCAAGAAGGAGGTGGACTGGGACTCGGAGGACGACATCAACTCACCCTACATCATGGAGGACCGCTACAAGAAGAAGTTTGTAAAAGTCTGGTGGAAGCTGTGCGAGCTGCAGGGGAGGCGACCCCTGACCGGCCGAGAGGACGAGAAGAAGTTCCGCTACTCCGGTGAGCACTCGTTGGCCAAGCCTCGCCACCCCTGCGTCAGAGCGTCCTCAAGCAAAAAATGAAAGAAAAAAAAAGAAATTACAGAAAGCGCTTTGCAAGTGATGCCGGAATTGGGTATAATTCGGCATTGGTTGCCAAAATGGGACGGGATCATTACGAACGGATGAGAGCAGTGGCAGTTACGGTGGTGGTAACAACAGTAATCCAACTCCAGCGTCTACGCAAGCTGCCCCGCTTGTGATCCAGTTGTTGATCGGTTTGGCCCATTCAAAAAGACAGCTGCCAGTCTATGCAGAACAATTGGATGTGATGCAACCCACGATAGAAAAAATTATGTCTCGCAGCTCGTCTTTTGCCATCCGACGCAGTTGGATGGCAAAACACGAGCATCTTGTCGTTTGGACTCTTGGCCGCTAGAGTTTCCTCGACTGGCCGGTTGCAGAGTGAGCTCTGGCTGGACGGGTGTGTGCCATATGTACCGCCTGGCTCGTGGCGTTGGTTTTTAGTCGGTCGAAATGTCACCAGGCGCATATTGAGTTGACGAAAACAAACATGAGGAACGCACCAGTAGACAGACGGGTCGCATGGTGCCGTTGCTCACAGGAGACATCCACTCCTCACCGGTGGACGACTAGAAAGAGTGCCATTTCATGCTGATAACTGTTAGTGGGACTTCGGAGCTGTTCACATTGCGCTATGCAGAGAACTCTACTTTGCCCCTCGGCCGAGAGGTGAGGGTTGTGCCCGCGCACCAATCCAGGGATTTTTAGATATTATTATTTTGTTTCCTCTTTTGTTTTGTAATAAGTCAAACAATAATGTCTTTCGACCCCTTATCAAAAAAAGGAGGTAATTTCCCTAAGACAATAGTAAACACGTCTTGCCTCCCCTGCTGCTCCTCTTAGAGCCTTCCTCAACGTGAAACATTCTTTGGCCAAGTGTTCAGCATTTTGTGCAGCTTAGACAAAAGCGTGGTTGCGAGGCTCGACTCTGATTGGTTAACAGGGATGTCATGTGACCAGAGGGGTAAGCGAGGAGGAGCTCGACCACCTGTGCACACTGAGGGAGAAAAGCTCGCAAGTATGGAAGACTCTGGAAGATCGCCAGGTTTACGAGCCCAATTAGCAGTAGTATCGTTTCACTCTAGGAAAAACTATCAAGTGTACACATGGTACACTCTCTGACGAAGAGCGCCATGAATCTAGGCATCTGGAAGAGAATCCCTAAATGTTTGTGATGCTAGAACGGTTCACGTATGGAACACCATTGCCTAACAATTTGCCATACATTTTTTTTTGTAGGTCGAACTCGACACTTGCGTTGGTGACGGGGATTAGAGAAATCCAGTCCGACTTTTCTATGCCTCCACGCGACGGGCAGAAAGGGGAACTCCCTGGTAGCAAACCAACTTAGATTTCGAAGTGATTGGCAGCGATTACACGATTGTCTGCGAGTTTTGCCGCAAGCATAGAAGTTTGCACGGCCAATAGAAAAAGCACCATCAGCACCATTGAATACCGGTAAATAATTCGGCACATTTTTCTGAAGAAGGTTCATTAGAGACAGACGAGTGCACTTAAATAATTTGACGATTATTTTTAACATAGTAATTTATATCGTGAAAGGCCCACCTCATTGTCTATAATGAGGCTGCTTTACTAAACTTGCAAACTGCCATTCTCTACATGGGCCAACGACGCTAAACATCCGAAAAACTCAGAATTATGTAAATGAAAAACAAAAACTTAAAAAAAAAACAAAAAAAACACGGGATTGTTGTTAAAAAGAATAAACCGCGAAAAATGCCCTCAGGTTTTGCTTGGCAATAAACCCTGAAAGCGCAGAACACTAGGTATGACTGAAGTACTGCTGGAAGTACCTACCGTAAAATACCGTGCATCCGCCCATACCACATTAAGCGCCCATACCCAAATTTGTAAAATCTGAGAAAATAATAACAGTGCATTGATATGTAGAACTGATGACCGGACAAGCGCCCATCCCCCATTTTTTCATGATTATCTCAAAATTTTGAGTGGGCGCTTGCCTGGTACATTACGGTATATCTTTTTTTTTTGTTCTAAGCGGGCCCACGACTCCGTAGCAAAGAAGTAATTGGGTGGCGTCCGACTGCCTATTCCAGCTCTTTGCTAGAAGAAACAGACCTTTGATTTGTTGATAGGACTACTTACTTTGGGCCTTTACCTGATGTGATAAGAAAAATTACCTGCCAACAGGCTGACATTTTTTTAATAGAACAAGAGAGCGAGCACACTGTCGTTCCATTGCTGAAATCCCTTGGGAATTAACTGAGCTCTACTTCTCCCAAAAAAGAAAAAAATCCCTTCATACGAGAGTTTTTGCTTTCCTAAAGATTTTCATAGCAGCAGTCTGAGAAAATACTTGTATCTAATTGGTGCTGTCTTCCGAAGGCGAGGATTCAGAGCTCAAAGCTTAATTTTCGGCAGTTGCTCCTGTTGAGCAACAGTTCGTGCAGCCGAGGCACGTCCTTGAGCAGAGAGCTCGCGCCTGGAGCCTTGTAGCGGATTGTCGTGCGGGCGATTAACATGACAAAGGGCTGGGAAGCAAAAATTAACACAAAACAAATGAAAACGGGAGAGTGTAAACGACGTAAATATGTTACAAGTGCAGGAGCTACGTTCCAAGCAGAAATTAATCTGCACGCCATTTCTAGCGCTCAAGACAGGAACTGGGGCTCGCAGCCGTGTGTCTGAGACCCCTGACCTAAACAGACTGACATTACCGTGCAGGTTCCCGGTATCCGGAAATAAACGAGGGAGTGTGTAGGATGATCAACAGTAAGAAGATCTTCCCAGACTTCACGGACATCCTGGGCCTCATCAAGTCCCACAACGAACTGTCGAGCCTCGGACTACAGGGTCCCCAGATGGAGCAGATAGGTGACGATCCTTTCCACCTCCCCGGCTGTTGTCTCTGCGAAGAATCCGTAGCCGAATCTCGACCCAGGTAGCACGGTTCTTTGGGCCAAATGTTGGTCTTTGTCTGGGAATTCTGGGCCTTAAAAAGCCCAGAGAAGCCAAGATGGTGCCAAATTTGACCTTCCCTTGACCCTAATTCACCAAACAAATGTCAAAGTAAAGCTTCACTACTGGTAGTTTGGCTATCATCTGGCATCCTTGGACCTAAATTGCCAAGCAAGTGCCAAATTTAGGCTTGACTGCTGGTTCTTCGGTTCATATTCTTCGGCTCAAGTGTGACACTTTGGCTATCATGTGGTGAGCCAGAGGAAAGTCAAGAAATGCCAAAGAAAGCTACTCCGGCACTGACTAATGCCTTAGCCGTATTGGGCCCAAGTTAGGCTCCTAGGATTACCAAACTTGTGCCAAGTTAGGAGTTTCATTGTCGTGTTACCTGGGGACCCGACCGGTTTAATGCGTCATAAATTCTCCCAATCGGGTGTCTACGAAACGGAAGAGGGGGGAGGGGGTGTTTAGGGGCCTGTGGTACCCCCAAAGGGCTCTTGAGGGCCCAAAACCTCAGTCTCTCGTTCTCACAATGCCTACGTGGAATTCCGGGCGACTGAGCAAAGCCTTTTCTATTGGCAGAAGTGCCACCTTGCTTAAGTAGAAAGTTCCAGTTATCGTAGTTTCATTTGAAGATTCTGCCATAAGGCACTTTCCCTGCTTTTGCATACTAAGCGATACCAGTCTTTTAGTGTGGAAGTGTTGCCTCTAGCCAGACATTAAAACCTTTCAAAAGGCTATGTTTGGGGTCATATTTAGAATCGGTGCGCCTGAGGCCTGAAATATTTGCTAACTGCGTTGATTCCGAGGCAAAGTGGACACACTTGTCACACCTTTCAATTTTGAAAATTTACATTTGTCCAGGAGTTGAAACCTGCTTTGTTGCACCTTCTTTTTAATTGAAACAGATTTCCTTCCTCCTGACGAAAGAAAAACATAAAAACTGCGGGTGCTGAGCCCTAGGTGTCTTAGCTCCCCTTTATGCAATCTTGCTCCAAGCTGGTATGCAACTGAGCAGAGTGGCCAAAATTAGTCTTAAAAGTAATTAATTTTCCGTTACGGGCACTTTATCCAAAACTAATTCAAGGAATGCTGAACCTCCAACAAAACATTTGTTTTCAACTGCTGTATGTATGCCACGTGTGTCACCAGGCGCTCTCTCCCATCCCCAATAAAATGAATGCAACATTTATGCCTCGAAATGCATTTTGAGTTTGGAGCGACTAAGTCCGCTCACGCGCGCTGGACCAGAAATGCTGTTGAGGTTAACGGTCAAAAGAGACGTTGTTCTGCAAGGCCCCCCCTGGCCTCCTCCGTGTGCTGCGATTGGCTACAAAGAGGCACGTGGGAGAAATGGGGAAAGGGGGACTGGGAACCTACTTTGACCAACACTTGGGCCCACGACTCGCTCGCTGTATTACACTGACCTAGATGCTACTTTTAATCACTATAGACACGGAAATGGTGGGGAGGAGTTTCAGTACCTCTAGTGTGAGCTTCCCACCTTCAATAATTTTTTGGTTAGAGCAATACCAACTCAAGGCCTGCTCATTAAGTCATCATTAGTGGATCTCTGACCTGCCCCAAGCGGCAAACATGCTGATGCTCGACGAAAGTCACGTGTCCATCTTGGCGACACCGTGTGCTGACATCGTGCTCGTTGTGAGATGCTGCAAGACGCTGCAGCGGCGATGCCTGGATCTAGTACTAGCAGCGGCGTTTGGGGGGTCTTGTAGCTGGTATTGGCTGGATGCGTTGGTGAGAGACGGTCCTGTTGGTGGCGACTTCATGTTACTGAGCCAGGCTTCTGTGCCCTCCCACAGCGAAGGAAGTGTTCACGGATGTGGGGCAGGAGCTCCAGGCCCGGCGCAAGCGGGAGGAGCTGCGGCTTGCCCTGCTCTACCTGGAGGACGAGGAGGAGGTGCCCAAGGACCCCGCGGAGGCAGACCCCGAGCTCAGGGCTAGGCTGGACGAGAATGGCAAACTCTTCAGCTCCAGGATGGACGAGGTGAGGCACCGAGATTGTGCAACACCTTTTCCCGCCCATGCCACCGTGTAAGATGTACCTTTTCCACGAGGGAGCCGCCATCTTGAATGTCATCACTTCCAGTGCGGGTGAAGACGTTGTTTTGCTGTTACCACGCCGATATAAGGCATTCGGGATGAAAGCTTAATCCGTCATTCATTCTCGGTTTGCCTATCCTTTGTTATTTTACTATTTGCAGATTGAGATGAGAGTAAATGGAAAAGGTCTATGCGCCGAGAAACGAAGGGGGGGGAGGAGAGAAGAGCGCGGGGACATCAGAACGCCGACCTCTGGTTCGAATGGTTAGTGGGTGAGCCTGAAGCTAGCAGCCTTTGTTTCCACCACTGCACTTGTTGAACGCGAGAGCCAAACGCCAGCATTCTGCATTCTGACGCGTTCGACGAGTGCACTGGAGACAAAGGCAGGCAGCCTTGGGTCTACCCGCTAACCATTCGAACCAGAGCTCGGCGTTCTGATGTCTCTCCTCCTCTCCCTCAGTTTCTCAGCGCATAGGTGTGGACACCGTGTGTATCAGAGCTGCCCGATAATCTCCTCTTCTTCACCCAAGCTGCAAGCAGCGCCAGCAGATGGCTCTTTGACGTGCGACTAATGGCAGCCTGTCGTGGGCCCAGTTTCCCACGCCTTTCTATGGGAAACACGCTTCTTTCTAAAGGCGTTTTCTGGATGTGCCACATCATCTAGAACTTGGCACTTGCGCCACGCATCCTGATTAGATACTGTTACACTGCTTTGTCGTTGACCCTAGTTTTGGGCCTCAACCGCGGTAATACAGTCGAGCCCGGTTATATCACACTCGGGTATTTCGAACTATTTTTTATATCAAACACGTCAAACATTTCATTGACAATTGCTCCTATGTGAAAATCACATAGGAGCGTTGTTTTTTTTTTGTATGGAACTTCCATGGCGTGGACACTCGATATAGCGAAAAGTCCAGCCGCATCGCTTGCGTTGCGGGGCTGGCAGACCGCCAAGCCAGAATACAGATGGTAAGATACGCAACAAAGAAACAGTTCTGGAGAAAAAAATGGACGATGGCAAAAACAAGGAAAAGGGCACGTGCGCGCGTAGGGAGAGTAGGGAGTGCCCGCTGTCGGAATGGTAGCCAATGCCCTTTCCCCGAACACTGCTGACGCTAGGTGACTCCCTAACCCCAAAATAAAATGAGCAAAAAAAAAAAAAAAAAAAAGTCTTTGTTAAGTTGATTGTGTTCACAAACTCGGTTGTGCAATCGCACTTCCATCGCCTTATCTTTGTTTACCTTTTTCTTGTGCCGTTATTGCTTTGTCCATTTTTTTCCTGCTTTTATTTTTTTTGTTGCTTGCTTAACTTCTTTTTATGCTTTTTTGTTTTGTTTTGTTTTTGCCTGCTGAGCAATGTCTGGCAGTATCAATATGCCTTTTGCTCTGTTACCCTAGACCTAGTGTCTAAATAAAATAAATTCAATTAAAAAAATTATAACGCCATACATTGGATCCCTGTAGTGCGTCGAAAACACGACGGGAGCCGCTGGCTATTTCCAGAATTATCTATTGGAAGAAAGTATGGGCACTTAAAAATTGCATTTGGACCACCCAGCCGCAGTTCTTCTGTCGGACAGAAGGTGCGCAGGTACCTTTTCCCCGGAGTTCCTTAAAGGACACATGCAAAGGAAAAAGAAATTTTTTTTAGACAGCCTGGTTGAAAAAACAAATTTACAACCAAAAATAAATTTTTTAGAGCTATATTTACAGTGCAAAACGAATTTGTAGTTGGCGCCCGCGGGAGTCGCCACAGAAACACGTGGTACACCTGTTCGCCATCACGCGGTGCCGCTGTCACCTCAAATTCACGTTAGCGCCAGAAGCTGAGCGGGGTGCACCACCATTTCAACATGTTTCTCCACGCCGCCGCCACCGCACAAGTTCGTCTGCTCCGCGGCGCCGCCGCCGTCTTCTGATTGGCGCTCAGGTCTATCACATCTGCTTGCGCTTTTTCAGGAGCTTCCTTTGGGTTCTAAAATTTACTTATTAATCTTTGTTTTTTGTTGCACTCGAAACAAAGATGAATAAGTAACTTTTAGAGACCATAAAAAGCTTACGAAAGAGTGCAAGTACCACGTGACAAATAGCGGCCAGTCATGCAACAAATAGCGGCCACTTTTCCACGGCGCTCGCGGGTGCCAACTACAAATTCGAATAGCGCCGTATATATACCGTAGAATACCGCGCATCCGCCCATTCCGCATTAAGCGCCCATTACCAAATTTATAAGATTTGAGAAAATACGCACAGTATGTTTATATGTAAAATTGATGACCGGACAAGCGCCCATCTCCCATTTCTTTGTGATTATCTCTAAAGTTTAAATGGGTGCGTGCCCGGTATTTTGTGGTAGCTCTAAAAAATTTTATTTTTCGTTCTAAATTTGTTTTATGTCTTCCTTTTCTCAACCAGACGGTTTTAAAAAAATTTAATTTTCCTTTGCGTGTGTTCTTTAAGGTATCAGAACCATCGTACTTGGCTTTCTTCGGGGATCGGGGACCAAGCGTGTCGGCGCTGCGCAGCTCAAAGCACGTGGAGCGAAAGCTTGCTCCGCAGAACCTGGGAGTCCCGGGCTCAATCCCCATCTCTGCCCATTTCGATCTGGATGAGCATGGTACCGGCGTGCGCTCGTGTATTACTACCGTCTGATCCACGTTAAAGGGCAACTCCGCTCAATTCCAAAAATTTAGGCTTCCATGTGATTCACATTCACAAAGCACTACTAAACAACTCTACGTCTTCGGATTCGCGAAATGTGGAATCTTATTTGTGTAAGCCTAATTTAAACATCAGCAGATACCGAAACTGAAACTTCGGTTGCGTCAGGCAACATTGGTCTCGGGTCGTCAGAGTCATGGCACGTCACGTCGAACCACATGGTCTTGTGACGTTCGGGAGGGAGCAAGAAACCGAGCGAGGTCTTTTTTTTTTTTTTTTTTGGACGCAGGCAGGGAGCTTTGCATGGCGTGGACGGTGATGGCCCGGGGGCGAGGGGGAAGGGGAGAAGACGAAAGAGGAGAAAAGGAGTGGAAAAACAGACCGATAAGCGCGCAGGGCAGCGCATCCCAGGCGCATCCGTGTTACGGTGATCACGTGAACGCCCGGTCAGCCAACACCGGGAGGAGAAACTCATGACGTCATCGTTCAATTTCGCTCTGAGAAGTAAAAACAAACAAAACATGAGAATGACATATGCATGCCTCTGACGTAGTGGTTCAACGTTGGCCGCTCCAACTCCGTGGCATTGACTGCGCTGGTGATTGCGCCTCGCGCCGCACGCTAGAGTTGGCAGATTTCGGCGACTTGGCTCGCTTGAAGGTTTGCTGGCCAGTTTATTAAATATATAGACGGAATTAGATCGTAATATTTGACATAGGGTCTTCCTATATGATACTGAAGAGGGCTACATAGTTTTCTAAATATCAAAAATGAAGCGGAGTTGCCCTTTAAAGATCCGAGGCTAGCAATGGTACTTCACTGGCAATCTTTCTCATCTGCGGCATAAACCACTGTCGCCGCACCTCAGAAGCAGGCCGACCTTATTCCATATAAATACAAACATTAATTTTTTTTTTTTTCTTAAGCTTTCTTTTTTGTGGGTACCTTCACCCTGAAATACAGTGCAACCTCATTGGTATGTTCCCCGTTTTTGTGTTTTCATGGCTTTTACGTTCAGAAGTGCCAGTCTTACTGAGCTGCCATAGGAACACACACATTAATTTCTTGCTTGGTGCATTCGCCTTCCTGGTTCTTGCGTCCAAAAACCGGACACCGGTTGATTCACACGACGGACCGATTTGCGGACGGATTGATCACGGGACGACATGTTCGCAGATCGTCTGCCTCTTAAGCGCATTCGAACAGAGAGGGAGACGAGGGACAGCAAGGATCGACCGAACCACGTGACTGCACTGTGTCACCATCGTCCAAGTGCGACGTTTGGCGCTGCAGTCGCGGGGCTATCGTATTGATACAAAAAAATAATTATGTGCTGTTGTTACGTGCCAGAACACTGTGAGATGCTAAGCGCGAAGGGCCACTACCTTTACTAACCCAAGGCATAACATGAGAGAGCTCTGCACGAGGAGGGTCGTAGTTGAAGCAACGGAGTCTTGGACACGCAAAGGGGGCGTTTGCCCGTGTCCTCGTCCCCACGCACTCATGCGCAGCGCTTCGACGCACCACAAGTGCAAAAAGGTTTTGTTCTCCCTTGTTGGGTCTCGGTCTAGCCGATTGAAAGGCTGGACTGATGTGCGGGACGGTGCACGGCGTGCTGGACGAGTTTTGACTGAAGCTTCTTGACACGAACCTGGAAGAATACCGGAACCTGCAGTGCGCGAGCCGGGAACAGTTTCTGCAGCTTTCTTCAGGCGTGTAACCACGAATCGCGCGATAAAATGAACCAGCGAATGGATGGAACGGACAAAAGAAAACAGTGTGCCATCTTTGTTTTGCTAGTCAAAAACAAACAAAAGGGTGTGTCGTTGCCAGACCAGTGAGTCCCCTTTCCGAGTCACTCTTCGTCAAAAAAACTTATGATCCGAGAAAGCCGAACTCCGCTTCACTGTCGGATTTTTTTTATTTCAGACACGTTTAGTCCAACCAAAGCTTATTTTTTATTGAATGAAGGACACAAAGATGGTGGCGTCATTGAGTTTTGTTCTCTTTTCGTTTGTCTTCTGGTTCGTGTTGTTGCGCATATCTTGGTCCCTCATGCACCGGACGCGAGAATTTTGCCTGACTGATGCGCTGCAAATCCTGGCACTCCTCTGGGATCATGTAAAGAAGCTTCTGTCAAAACTCATCTAACACACCGCAATCTCTCTTGCGCATGTTCTGCAGCATGCCATCCTGCGAAACCTCTTTTGCGGCTCGGTGTACCGGAGTGTTGGGCACGATTGCACCCCTCCACAAGCACAGGACTCTTTCACTTGCTTGCGTTTCAGCCACCCAAAGAACCAGGGGGAAATCGCTAGCTTTTTCTGAACGTATTAGAGTTCACATCAAGGAATGTTCACAAAAATTCTTCTGAACGTATTTGAGATCACACCTACAAACTTTTACAGTATGTTTACTTAACTCTTTTGTGACCACAAGAAAAGTAGCAATTTTAAAGAAATTCGTGCAAACTCTTGTCTTTCCTGAACTAACTTGCGTATGAAGCAATATGAGACATCAAAATGTGGCCAATTAGTCATTCTTTCAATAGAAACTGAGGTGGGTATATGGGGAAAAAGGATGAATTTTATTTCTTGAAAATACGATCTATGTGCAGAAGGTGTATGAGCGGCGAAACTTCTACAGCTATGTCAAATGAAACGACAGATTAAAAAAAGTTCTGAATATACAAAATATGCCCCACCACCCGCGTCTATGCACCGTTCCAAGCTGGGCTTCCTAGCCGACGCCATTTTAACGAATGTAGCGCCGCCTACCCTGATCCGGGCATTTGGGAGAATCTGAACCCGCCCGAATGACCGACCGCCATTACTGGACTGTTACCCTGCTCACCGAGTCGCACAGATCGCAGCTGCTTCTGCCGGCACGGTTACCGTATTTGGCGTCCTCGGCTCATCGTCTTCGTCCATGGAGGAAAGCGCTACCCTAATTTGTATGTCAGGCATGGGGAAAAGTGCATCCTGCTTTCCTGGCATCTTTTTGTGGGTAATTTTTAGCGCGGTTCTGGGGCAGTCGTCGCTCCCAAACCGAACTCGGCGTTTCGATCGCTAGCGAAATTGGGGATCGCTAGTGAGATTGAGGATCGCTAGTGAAATTGAGGATTGATTGAAGCCAGGTTGGCACGAAAACGGCATGTGAATTTGCACTAAACTCGAGTTGTCGCAAATTGGGGGCGCCGGGAACATTTGAACTAACTGCGCGGTTAGCAGCTCAGACCTGCGCTGCCACGTCTGCTTTGTTTAAAATAGTAGAAGCCTCAAATTTAAATATGAATCGGTATATAAATACCGAGTACAAATAGCAAGTGTGACGGATCTGTTTTTTTTTTTTTTCTGATTTGGAATCCACTGTTGCAACATTGGCACATTGATGTGCCTCTCTGTAATCGCCTTGCGTGAGGATTATTTGTGCTCAAACTGTGTCGCGGCGTGTGCTATTAAATCAGTAGACCAGGAGTCACGCAACTGTTTTCTTTTCTTAATGTCTAAGCCGCCGTGTGCTTACCTTTCGGTCGTAGCAGGCGAAGGAACGGCACGGGGTTCTCCGCAGTTCGCCGGCCGCCCAAGAAATGGTCGGAGCACACGCGTTTATTTTACAATTTGTTTTGGTTATTTGTACAACCAATTAACAGCACAGTGCTGCCCGGTGTATTCTTTTCTTGCATAGGCCATGTCACGCGCGAAAACACGCTTTAATATCAAAGCGGCGCCTAACATTGTCGAAACAACTTGCCTCCGTACACTGCGCACATGCTTTCTAACAGTCCAATCCGTGAAGCAGACGAGCTTTCGAGGGAAAGGGTAAGCGGAGCGTTGGCGCAGCGCTGTGGTTCGAGAGTGTTTTTCCCTTTCTGCATCGACCTACTTCGAATGGTGTATTACTTCTGGTTTAGTGTACCCTAACTGACATTGTCTAATTTTGGTTCATCGGAGAGTTAGCCTCCGTTACATGTGTGCTTTTCAACAAAGGAGTGCTTATATTTGTGAAGCACAGCTAGTATGCCTGACATATGCAGCAGAATGCATTTTTAGTGTTCTACATTTGTTTTGTCATAGCCTTGATTGCAGTTACATCAGATTTAGCATTTGTGTCCTTCTTTTTAGGAACAAAAAAAATGAAAGCCGTTTACAACTCCCTGTAACGCCGAATTTGAGCGCAGCTCTTGAGGAGGAGGGTAGGGTACTGGGGGATCAGTTGACCTTGGAAGGGGGGGTCACGTGATCTCGGGGGAGGGGTCACGTGACGATGACGTCATCAGTGACGTCACTGATGACGTCATCGGCATCGTCATCATCACTGATGACGTCATCGTCACGTGACCCCCCAGGTCACGTGCCCCCCCCCCCTAGGTCCTCCTGAAGAAACCCGAGGTCCTCCCGAGGTCCTCCCGAGGTCCTCCTGAAGGAGCCCGAGGTCCTCCCGAGGTCCTCCCGAAGGAACCCGAGGTCCTTCCGAGGTCCTCCCGAAGGAACCCGAGGTCCTTCCGAGGTCCTCCCGAAGAAACCCGAGGTGCTTCTGAGGTCCTCCTGAAGGAACCCGAGGTCCTGGGGGGGTCACGTGACGATGACGTCATCAGTGATGATGACGATGACGATGTGGATGCCGATGAAGTCATTGGCATCCGCATCGCCATTGTCATCGTCACTGATGACGTCATCGGCATCCGCATCGTCATCATCACTGATGACGTCATCGTCACGTGACCCCCCCCCCCCCCTAGGTACTCCCGAAGGAACCCGAGGTCCTCCCGAGGTCCTCCCGAAGGAGCCCGAGGTCCTCCCGAGGCCCTCCCGAAGGAACTTGAGCTCCTTCCGAGGTCCTCCCGAAGGAACCCGAGCTCCTTCCAAGGTCCTCCCGAAGGAACCCGAGGTCCTCCCGAAGGACCTCGGGTTCCTTCGGGAGGACATGGGAGGACCTCGGGTTCTTTCGGGAAAATTTACCCATAATGCACTGCGCGGTTACGCCGACGCCGCTCAAGCCGGAAACGGGCGCCTAAGAGCTGCGCTCTAGAAAGTGCATGCAGGCTTAGGACAGCATCAAAAACAATAGTGATGCTTACTGACAAATATCTGTAAAACAACGCCTATAACATAATTTAAGGTGTGCCCAGAGCTCTTCAGGTCTAAAAGATATGGCAAAATATAGGTGAATTATAAAAATAATGACATTTTTGTTACAAAGACTGATGCAAGCAGTTAGTCATGTTAGACAAGTGGAACCACCACTCCCAGGACTATTTTTGACAAGCCACCAGCTTGCAATAAACCTCAAACCTACGTTGAAACCGAAACTAGAGTTCTGCTATCCACAAGATCGTGGGACATAATTCTCCGCACTAAATTAAATTTCTGACGGTGATCGATGGCCTATGGTCGCGTTCAGGAAAAGGTTAACCTTACACCTACGAATGTTTCCAAACTTTGTCTGAGCCAATTTGAGTTCACACCTATGAATGTTTGTGTAAAATAAATTTTTTCGTGACAGTTGCTTTATGTTTCATCTCTAGCGCCCCCAAATGGCGTTCCCGTTCCTTATGTTTTATTTCCTTGGTCCCGTAAGAAAGGTATCAATAAGGTTTTACCTTATTTCTCTTTCCCCTTTGGCAGACGACGTCATCTTTGAGCGCACCAGGAGAGGGGAAAGAGACGAAGCATTGTTTCTGTGTTTGCCTAAGACTTGCGGCGTCACCAATTGAAGACGAGTGTCCACCAAACTGACTTAGTCGTGCGTCCAATCCGTGACCTCCATTTGCCTCTTCGGGGACGTTAACAACTCATCGCTGCAGCCTCGTTGTCTTGGGGTGTTGTGCAGCCACGCTCAAAAACGGTGTCGTCTGCAGGGAGCGGAAAAAGGGAGAGAAGGGTCTCCCCTACAGAGAGGAGGTTGTGTCTGTCTTCCCATCCGTTCGCGTGACCCAAACCTAAGGACCGCAGTTACTTTCTGAAACCGGGCGACATTTGAAGGAACGGGCCCGGAGGTCTGACGGCATGTGCGCCCTTTCGGACGACGCAGGTGGTACAGTCGTTTGTAAACAGGCAGTTGGAGCAGAAGCTGGAGCCAAGGGAGGTGCAGGAAGAGGATTGCGACCAGTCGCCGCCACCCAGCCCCAAGAACGAGGCCACCGAAGACGAGGACGAAGAAGAAGAAGAGGAGGAGGAGGATGAAGACCTGGTCAACTTCCAAGACCTGAGTGGAGGTACGTGCCCAGGGTGGTAAAGACGCGAGCAGAGCGCAGTAAATCCTAGACGCCGACGTCCGTGGTCCCGAGAGAACGAACGAGAAAGAGGGCCACAGAAAAGCGGGTAAAGAAAGCAGCCGATAGGTTAGACATGTTCGCTCTGCCGCGACGAGTTGAATTTGCTCGAGTGCTCGTCAACTTTCTTTACTTTTGCACAATGCGGGTGTTTTCGTCAAAAGCATACTAGAAAAGTATTGTGCACAGACCTTACGGGTGATGTTTTGCTGCTGCTTTGCGTGTATTAAGGCGTCACCGGCGATAGGGGTCCGTGGAGACAACCCACTGGAGCCACCGACGTCTGTGTCTAGGACCTTCCGCTCCGTAGCGGCCGGAATGCGTGCGACCATTTCCTCTAGATTATTGTATAAATTCCATGTACGTCTCCCACCTCCCTTAAAAAGAAACTGAAGAGGTTCCGGACTATTTGAGTAGAAACATTTGGATTGTCTTCATTTGGCCTCCGGGATCACAAATATCGAGATTATTTTTCAATTTGGTGCACTGAGGCTGCAGGAAAATACTATATTCAAAGTACCGCTGGAACCCCCATTTCCCAGGGCGTTTATGTCACAGAAGGAATTTTCTGAATCTCCGCGCTCACGCATCGTGAGCGCCTATCAAGGCTATGCACGCGTGTTCTTGATTTTTCCAAAAAGGTCAGAAAATGACGTCGCAACTCTTGTCAGTGCGGGGGAACGTACCTGGCAAGCTTGCAATTTTCTTTTCAAATATGCCATTGGATTTAAGACATCACAATTGTTTTATGAGTTACATAGCAATTAATGAAGCCTAATTAGGTCATTTCTTACGGGACTTTAAGGTACTTTCTAATAAGAATATTTCTATATAAGTGATATGGATTTGTAGGTAAAGACCTGCCATGCAGACCTATGCTTTCTATTAGGGGTGTGCGAATACTGAATAGTAGTTTTCGAATCGAATACCCAATCGAATCAAGAAAAAAAAGCCGAATATCGAATCGAATATCAGATAGTGATTTTATTTGTAGGAAGTTTTCAAAGTGTGCTGCGAATGAGATTATTATATGTGCAGAGTATGCACCTGGTGCAGAATATGCATCTTGTACAAAACAAAAGCCAAAATCTAAAAAAAGTTCTGGTGAAAAAAAAAAAAGCAGTTGCTGTAAGACGTTGGGCACTAAAGATCCAATTTTATGGTGCAAACATAATCTATCTACCCTAAACGTCACAAAAAGCCAAAGTTACAACCACGTGTGCCTTTTTTTTCTTTAAAAGCACAACCTAACGCCACAACTTTTTTAAAAAATATTTGTATATGTCCGAAAAGGGGCATTTTGCGATAGTTCGTCTCCATTTTAAGGGAAAAAAGGGGCACCCGGGATTTGATTTCACATAAATAAACAGATAGGTGTTAAATCTGAGTAAACAGGCTTAAACAGTATAATCTGAACTAAGAAAAAAAAAAAAAAATGTGGTTAGGTGGCGCAAGTTACCGTCCAACTGCCGCCATGCATCCATTTTTCCATCTATCTACCCTGTTTTAGAGAGCCTTGATTTAAAAGAGGGAGCAACCGAAACTAAAACCACGGAGGCTGCTCCAGCGCAGATTGATTGTTAGTGCGCATGTGTTGTGTTGTCGCGTGGAAAGAAGGCAAGCAAACAGAAGAGCGACGATGCCTGCCCTGCCTGCCTGATCCCGATCGACACTTTCGTCTTTTCGTCACCTTCTCGCAGTTCGTAATTGAAACGTGGCTATCGAACTGTTTGAAACCCTCTCAAATCTAGGCACACTATTTTTCCGTTCGTTTCGTTACGAATCAGAATTTGCGGTTCCAAAAGAACGACGACGATAACTCGGCTGGTTTCATCGGCGTGGTTAACATTGTCTTCTTTCTGTGATCGTGCAGTCGCCAATTTCTGCGAGTGCAGCAAGTGTGTTTTACATCAGCGCTTTAATATGAAACAATGGTTTTTACTCGTGAAAAGAATTGAGCTTGGCGTGGGATTCCGGCTTCCCAACAATTCCTTTCGGGAAGCGGTGCAAATGGGATGTTTCTTTTGTGATTCAAGGGTAGATTGTGTCATGATCGTGAGTAAATCTGCGTGCTATAAAGTTTGTGGCGTTCGTTACTTTTCTTTTTTCTAACCTGTGCATAAGATTTTTGTGGAATGGTAAGGATCAAAAGATGTTTCTGGCATGGTCTGTCTAACATTACGGCACTTACATCGGGAGAAAAAATGGCTTTTTTGTTTGCTCCGCGCCAACTGCGCGTCTTTGGCCGAATGTATTGAATATTCGTGTAACCAAATACTAGGAATTCGATTCGCGAATCGAATTATTTGGGAACTTTCTATTCAATTCGAATTTCTATATTCGAGTATTCGCACACTCCTACTTTTTATACTTCTTTAAAAAAAAAGGATTATTGCTCAAATTAGTCTAATTATGTCAAGTAGCTTATTTATAAAATATAACGAAATTGCATTATCCCTAATAAAATTCATTCAAGTGCATTCAGCCATACAAAAAAAGCATAGCTCCGCAGTACACTTTTTTCTGAATTCAACGCTAGAAAGTTTATAGAAATCCATAAAAAAAAATGCTTTGAAAACCTCCATAAGGCTAAACATAGAGACGAAAAACATGAAGCTAAGTAAATCACGGTTGAAGTTTTGACAGGGATTGCAAAGAATTGCATGAGGGATCCTATGCAATAAGTTTCATCAATATCTAGAGTAGTTATTTCTGAATAAATTGAGATAAAATGGGCTGTAATTCATACATACATGGGAACCTTAGAAAAAAATCTGAAAGATAAAAAAAGTGACTACAATGTAAAAATAAAAGTTTGCAAACCAATGATCCTATTTTCCAAGAGACAACGAGAGGGGCCAGCAATAGTTTGAAGCTCCGAACGCAATTTTGTTTGGCCCTATAAAGGGCCTTTGAGAAGTGTCTCTACAGCTGACTTATAATTTGATACATCAAATTATATGTACTCCTAGCGAAAATCCTGGTTTATTCAGCACCTCTGTTCATATAGTGATTAGTCCTCGCAGGCCTCTGTTGGAACTAGATCAAGCCTGCACTCGGAAACCTTCACTAATGAACCATTTTGATAGAAAGTATAGTTTGATCCTTCTGTTCCTCGAACGAAGCAGTCATGTTCCCCATTTGGATGCCGTCTACAAAAATATTTCTAAACCACGCATCACATCATTTGGAATTGAAGGATCTGGCATCAGATGCAGCCACCTCTGTGCACTGTAAGCCTATTTTCGGTCGTTACATTCATAATATGACAAATTTTTACAAGAGCACGAACAACACCAATAATTGAAGTGGCCTCTTCCACTAATCCGTTGCTCCCCGTGGCGTCGAGCGAGATGGGTAGCTATGTGGCGTAACACGCCGTTTAAGTATGGTGATTAATACCATTTTTGCTTGTTCTAGCCTATCTTTGGTGTGCGTGCCCTGCAGGCAGATACACGGATATAGTGTTCCTTTTCTCATCTATGTGAACATAGCGAATCAAATGTTTAAAATTTGTATTCAAAGCGGCATTCAGCGTTTTCGCAACTATTTGGCACTCTCGGGTTAGAATTTCATTCGAGTTGAAATTTCCCTATTTGCACACCTCTACTTATTTCTTTTCATTTATTGAAAATATCTTGCAGGTCCATTTAGGACATTGCACAAGGTGGGGATTTAGTCAGGCTATAATATTTATTACCCACTCAAAAAAACACACACAAAATGCAGGACCTAACTTTTTCTTGGTCATACACAATTTTAGCACAAATACAACACAATTTATATATTCTAATACTCTTTATAAAACAGCGCCATTAGCAATGAAAAGCCATGTATTATACAAAATATATAAAGCACTATTTAGGCGAGGATATTGTGAGCAATGAAAACAATGGAGCGGTTAAAAAAATCTGAGGTAGCAGCTCGGAATGCATCGGGGACAGAAAGTGAGGTTGTTTTGTCAGGGAGACTATTACAGTGCATGACTCTGCGTGGCAATGAGGAGTTATTGAAGGCGGATGTACTGTAAAACCCTTTATTTTTGCTGCCCCTATTTTTCGTGAATCGGTCACAGAGGACACGATCGCGGCCACTAAATTTTGCGAATTAAAGACGCCTGCATTGAAACTCTAACTTGTTGAAATTTTCGCGTGCCCTTAAATTTTGCAAATTTTTCAATTTGCAAATTTTGCGAAAATTAAGGCCTCGCGAACATTAAGGGTTTTAAAGTGTGTCCAAAAATAGGCTTATAATTTTGAATGCTGTTAGTTAGATTTTGTGATGTTCGGTTAAGAGTGTGAAGGGGCTGGGCTCTAGGGTTAGAATGGCGCAATTTGTGCATAATGCAGAGTGGACTACAAAGTAAACTTCCTGAGCAAAAACTAAATTATAAACTCGTTTCGATTGACCGTCTCTTCCTAGTCGAATTGCGGGAATGCCGAGTCCAATCTCGACCGAGCGGACAACACGGTCTTTCCGCGTGTGCTTGGTGTCCGCAGATGAGAACTCGCCCGAAGAAGACGAAGAAAAGGATGAGAAAGCAGAGGATCCCGACGCTTTGATTGGAAAAGCCGACGACAAAGCCGTGCCTCCGCCAACGCAGCCGTGTGCGGGCGTTGTGGCTTCGTGCCCCGAGGAAGCCAAGCCCAAGGTCGAGGCCGAAGTGATCGTCATAGTCTCGGACGACGAAGCCTTGCCTCCGGCAAAGAGGGCCAGGACGTGATGGTGAGCGTGCCGCGGGTTTCGCGGCTCCCACCGGCAGCTTCCATTGCAGATTGACACGACAAACGTGCACTTTGGTGGAAGTGGTGACTGTTTATGACGAGGTGTAACATTTTGTGAGTCTTTGTCTTTGTTTCTTTTTTAAATCGAGGAATCCTATTAAAATAAAATCGAAGGAACGTGCTCCCTTTTCCTAGATGAATAGGGAGCGGAGAGATTTACGTTGTGCACGGGCTACGTTTACACGCGTACAGCATTTGGGCAGGTGGAAAAAAAGGGAGGAGTGACGAGACAACCGGGAATTTTCATTTAATTTATTGACTGCTGACCAGGCCTGTTTCGTGACAGAAATTTCACTAAGTACAATTTTCCTCTTCTAATTGGCATCTAAGAAGAAAAGTATTCTTTCATTAGTTGGTACTCTACCTTATTTATTTGTTTTAAATTGGCTTTAAGTCTGCAGTAATAATGCAGGAGTGAAGAAAAGTAACTTTATTTTTTAATCTTTTTCCTCACCACTTTAACTCAAGATCTGGGTTTGTGTGGTTGGCCGAGGCCCAACTTGATTGGAGGCTGTCGCTTTCGTGCGAGTGTAGCCGGTGTTCTAGAAAATGGTTCTTACAGTGTCCCTGGTTCCCTTGGAACTGGGCATCTCGAAGAAGCGTTTGTGAATTGTGAGTCATCCATTGTTTGTGTAGTCAACTGTTACGACATTCAGCTCCCTGAAGGCCCCTTCATTGTCATTCATTGATTCATTCATTTGAAAGGTGCCTTTGTTCAACTTTGCCACAAACATTTTTGAGAATATTTGTTTTAGCAGCAAAACTTTGCCTTTAGCGGTAATTTTTTTCTTCACAATTATTATTATCTTTTCACTTTAAGACTTTCTTAAAATGTAATGTCGGTGGCTTGGTACATGAAAATAAATGCAGAAGTCAAAGTACCGTATTTTCCAGTGCATAAGTTAAGTTTTCATTTTTTTGTAAATTTTCGGTGGTGCGTTTTATGATATGTTGTGACTTAAATGGATTCTTCTTTAAGGATGAACCTTAAAGGCCCGTTCCCACACTTGCATTTTCTTAGGACCATGCTCTTTGGGATTTCTTACGACGAGAGAACAGACTGGCCTGCCATCTGTGAGGCGATAAGGAACTGAATTTCACTAGAGCGAATGTTTTGCAGTATTTGTGAGGTCAAATATACATACTACAGTTGCGTCTCGTTTAAATGGATCGGGCTATTATGGACACCCCGCTATATGGACACCATTTTCGGGGACGAACTAGGAAAATACTTGCATTTTCATCTCCTTCTTATGGACAACTCACATTATGAGCAATCTTTTGGGGGATTGAAGTTGTCCATATTAACGAGACATCACTGTATCAATAAGAAAAGGTTGTTTATAGCACTGTCAAAAGCTTTTGAGCCAAGAAAGAAAGAATGATGAAATAGGAAATGTATGGAAACTGCCACGGCTACGCAATAGATGGCGCCAGAGTGGTCTTTCGTCATAAGAGGTCTCGAGGCTCACGGCCATAAGCCGTCGCAAGTGGGTGAACCGAGCAGATTTTTCGCGAGTGTTGTATTTCTCGTTCGATCAATTGACGAGGGTGTTGAAACTGGCTCCCGCTTGTGCATGTATAGCAAGCACAATACACATGCCAAAATATCCAGAGAGATGCCCCGCCCATGGAAGATAACCTGCCCCTTGTTTTTGCCTCGATTCGCTATTTTCTTTTAAACACTGAAAGATAGCCCACTGCTAGTAATAGTGCTCGGATCAATGATGACATCTTCGCTTCGTTGTCCCTTGCCACAATAACAATTTCGGCAGAAAAACATGACCTAAAGAGAAAAAAAAAGCTTTTCTTCGACTTTTCTTTATTAAACGTCGAAAGTTAGCCCACTCCTTATTTTCACCTGACTTGCTCTCGGTTTTAGGTGGGTAATCTCTCAAAATATTACGGTGTACAGACTTGTATGTGCAGTTTCACCATGCCTATCAAACCAATATACAAGTGTGAATTATAAAGACTTATGCACCAACGTTTTTTGAAGACACCCGTTTACAGGAGGGGTGTGTGACTTATATATCGGGAAATATGGTGTGCTTCTGGTTTTGGTGCCTCAGTGATTACACCTTTTGCTTCTGTTTTTTCCTTTTTATCTTTGTTACTGTGAGGGCACAGTTCTAAGATTCTTCATTGTTTTGCTGATTACCCACCTCAGCTGCAATGAAGGCTTTTGTCTCTGTGAGACACTAGTTTTTTTTTTTTTTTTTGTGTGTGTACTTTTTGAGATTTTGAGTATGGGTGTTTCATTACGGTGGTTTGACACACTGTGAGGCTCGCAGTAATTTAGTTTGGGAACAAATTAAAGTAATGAAATAGAATTCAGTTTGTTACTGAAAAAGAAAAGGACTCCAATTTGTTTTTAGCTTTTTGCAACATTATTTATATAAAAATTGTTTTAGGATGATTATCGCCCTTTTGCGGGAACTCTTGTCTAGGCTTTGCTGCCTGGTATGATGTCAAGGGGCATTCCTCATATTAAAGAGAACGAGAAAGGAAGTCCAATGATATTGTAAACCATGCTTTTGGAGTCTGCTGCATAAATGACATTGGTAGTTCGTTTTCATCTTTGTGGTATTGCTCCAATTTCATTGCCTCGATTGTCTTCACATGGCCGCCGCATAGTTTTCTTTCTTAGGCCGAAAAGATCAAACTAAAACTAAAGCACCCACAGGGTACATCAGGACGTCGTCATGCGTTTCTGAGATATACGATTCTCAAGTGTGGGGTTGCTGACACTCTGCCGCTCTCTACGCAAAAAGCAGAAAAGGTAGAGATCTGGGCGGTCGGAAGGATGGAATGGCAGGATGTCACATGGATTGTTTCTCTCCTCAGGCTTCCTGCAACTGCAGCTTGTTTCTTTCATGTGCAAGCAAAGCTACGGGAACAAGTATGTTGCTCTGAAGAACGCTTGCACTGCACAAGCCCTTATGGGTTGGTCGCTTGGCAGGGATGCTGAAAGCCCGGTGCTCGCTCTTTTAGCTCTCGCTACACTACCGCTTCATGTGACACAGAGTTTACACTGTACTGCGACCGTGCGTAAGCCTATAAGTTTATTTTTCATTTGTTGCTCCTTCCCGAGATACCCAGAAAAATGTTCCATCCCAGCATCAATAAAACATCTCTCACTCACTCCATCCGTTCGCTTTTCGGCACAGGAGGGTTGGCTACTTCAATGTGGAATCTTCTTTGGCTAGGCGTCCTGCATTTCCTGATGCCCAAAAATGAAGCCTGGATAAAAGTGTGGCTGCGAGGCTTGATACCGATTGGTTGGCGGGAGGGAGAGGAGGAGTGAGGTGCTCGACGCTGATTTGTTAATGGGGACGTCTTGTGACCGGAATGAAGTGAGGAGGAGAGGTAGGTGGGGTGGGAGAAAAGGAGTGGGTTGGAAGGTTCTGGAAGATCGCTAAGTTTAGCATTTCAAGTGTACTTGTGCCAGGCATTAAATTACCCGCTGAAGCTAGGTATTTGGATTAAAAATATGTTCCGGATATCAAGGGGGGTAAGTGGATGCCAGAATTGTGCCGCTGGACGATGCGATGGCGGTGCACTATGTTGCGAGTATGAGCTTTCACAAGCAGGTGTGCACGATTGTCTGCCTTCAGTTGGATGGTACGAAGTTGTTCAAGACTCGCAGAGGTAAGGGTTTGTACCATACAACATGCCCGATAGCTGAGCCGAAGATTCAGACATGTAGGTCGTCGAGTCGTCGACCATTCTACAGCTTGTCCCCAAACAAACTATGCTTGGCTGAATGCTCATTCTCTCTCCAAATGTAGTGCCTGCTGTCTAAACCAGAAGCTAAAGTTTCAGCACTATCTGTTCTCTTACTCAAAACTGATAAGGGATTTTCTGCAATTTTCGCTGGGAAAATGGGGCCCATTTTTTCCTGTTTTCGGTAAGTGGTGCCATAGAGCTCCATGTATTCGAGAGCCCTGGTGGCCACCATTTTCCCATCGAAAATTGAAGAAAAACAACTTTTGAATAAGATATTGGTTAGTGCTGAAACTTTGGCATCTGATTTGGATCACTAGCGCTACATTTAAGCAGAGAATGAGCGCTCGGTGATGCATAGTTTATTTTTGCAATGAAACAATCCTGTAAATACTTTATTCGGACACCCTGTACTACAGTCTGAAGACGTTTGCTGTCTTACGAATTCCAGTTGTGGTGAGCATAGAAAGGGTGAACAGACGTGGAGTTTGAATTGTGCATTTGGTATTGAACGTCTGTACAACCTGTTTACTAGATGTGGCTGATACACTGCACTGGCCGATTTCGAGCCTGCCGGGTTCAGCACAGAGAGATGGGCGGGAAGTTTAAAAATCTGACACCGGTAGGTCGCTGTCATACATAGTTTGCAAAATGCTGTATTAGGGGGAGGGGGAGGGGGAGAGGAGACCCCAGCAAAATGAAAAATTTCGAAGAGGGAGGTGGGGGGGGGGGGGGGAAGCCCGGCCCAATGCCGCCCGCCCCCCCCTTAGCTACTTCCTTGGTTGCATGACATCCCCCTAAAGAAATGCCGTGAGTCAGTAGACGTCGCCCAAGCTCATTGCCTACGTCCACATAATACAGAGTCTGATTAAAAAAAAAAAAAAAAGCTGCTTACAACTCCTTGTAACGCCGAATTAGAGCGCAGCTCTTGATGAGGAGGAGGGAAGGGCACTGGGGGGGGGTTAAACTAACCAGGGGGGTCACGTGACTTTGGGGGTCACGTGACCCCCAATGCCGATGATGTCATCACTGACGTCACTGATGACGTCATCAGTGACGATGCGGGTACCGATGACGTCATTAGTGACGTCACGGATGACTTCACCAGTGATTATGACGATGCGAATGTCGGTGACGTCACTGATGACGTCATCAGTGATGATGACGATGCGGACGTCGGTAACGTCATCAGTGATGATGACGATGTGGATGCCGGTGACGTCATCAGTGATGATGACGATGCGGATGCCGGTGACGTCATCAGTGACGTCACTGATGACGTCATCAGTGATGATGACGATGCGGATGTCGGTAACGTCATCAGTGATGACGATGCGGATGCCGGTGACGTCATCAGTGACGATGTGGATGCCGGTGACGTCATCAGTGATGATGACGATGTGGATGCCGGTGACGTCATCAGTGACGATGACGTCATTGGGGGGTCACGCAACATCGGCGGGGGTCACGTGACCTCAGGGGAGTCACGTGACCTCGGGGGGGGTCGCGTGCCCCCCACGAGGTCACGTGACCCCGGTGGGGGGCTCGCGCGGTGCATTATGGGACATTTCCCATGATGCACCGGGGTCACGTGACCTCGGGGGGGTCACGTGCCCCCCACGAGGTCACGTGACCCCGGTGGGGGGCTCGCGCGGTGCATTATGGGACATTTCCCATGATGCACCGCGTGGTTACGCCGACGGCGACGCCGACGCCGCTCAAGCCGGAAACGGGCCCCTAAGAGCTGCGCTCTAATATATCTTATTGGCATTTCAACCCCTCGCATACCGTCTACGAGGGATTACTCTTGAGGTTGGGCTGATAATAGTAATAAAAAAAACAAAAAAACTTGCATGGTCCCAGAGAGCTTGAGGACTGGAGCAATCCATCCCCTCCTTCCGACCACCGCAACCCCTTAAAAATTGTGATATCACAGATACCGATACGATCACAAACTCGCGACGTCCCAGTGTACCACGTGAGCGGTTTAGTTTCAGTTTAGTTTTTTGCTCTAGAAAAAAAAAAAAAAAAGAAAAGTAAGTGACTTTGAAGTACAAAATTAATTGGTTAGTATTCTGACACATTTGCTTCGTATGAAAAACAAAAAATTGGTGTGTCAGTGGCTTTCTAAAGGAATCAAGTTGACTAAAAGCATTTATATGTAATTAAGGGTTTAGTATGGTGGTATGGCAATTTTCTTGACCAATTTATTTAGAGATGAAAATTCAGGTCCATTGATTTGCGGGTTTACTCTCTTACGTGATGATAATTAAGGTGCTTAATAAATCCATGGATAGTGCATGCTTGCATTTTTTGTTTTCGGACTGCCTGTGGGATATTCTGGGTATCACACTAGGATACAGTATCGGAAGATGGTATAAACTATTTTTCCTTCACATTGTGTTCAATAAAGCCTTTTTCTGTCAACGTATTGAAACAATTGTTGCATTTTGTTTAGTTTACGATGTTCAATTTGCATGTTATTGTTCCTTCGCAGAACAATAGCGACAATGGTCACTATTCAAGTCTGCAAGCACACTCTTTCAGAGACTCACTATACCCCGTTCATCCCTAAGCTGACAGCGCGGTGGAAGTGATATGCTTGTTGGCTCAATCGTACGTCTATCCTTTGCCACATGATTGTGGTCTCGCTATACTCTCACATAGAGAGTGGGGTCAGGTGATGAAAGGATGGTAGGCGAACACGTAGCTCCCACCACACTGTTGACCCGCAGGCGAACAGAGTACAGACAGCTCGACACTATGCACCATATGACCAAAGACTGCCAAAGATCTTGATAGAGAAGGAGGAATTAACTCTGGACCCTCATTGGAGAGCTTCAAATCGGGAACGCTTGCAGTGATGTGATTGCTGCGCCAATTGCGCCAAACTGCACCCAGTGGCTAACCCTGCTACGTCCTGCTACATTTTGCCAAAGTATGGGTAATCTGCGCCAAGCCTGCGCCAAAGGACCAATTTCGGTCGCCTTTCAAAAGCGAAACTAAGCTGAGAACCGTAACTGAACACGCATGTGCAAGGTGGCGCAAGCGGCCGCCCGACACAAAGCACCCTGCTTGAAGGGGTGTCCAAACAGGACACTACAAAACGCACGCCTCCGACAAATCGTGAAAATTGAAGCGGACGGGCCTGCTTCAAGCCCGCTTCAATTTTCACGATTTGTCGGAGTCGTGCGTTTTGTAGTGTCCTGTTTGGACACCCCTTCAGTCGTCCATCCGGTTTCTCATGGTTTTTCCCGCCGTCTCGCGTTTCGCGCCCTCGTCGTCTCGGGAGTCTTGTCTCGCGTCTTTTTTAAAATTATTTCAACGATAGAAGAGGCCACCCCGTCATGCTGTGAAACAAAACCACGTTTTTGCGCGGCGAGAGTTTGTGAGCTGAAACGCTCGCGCGACCGACAGACACCGTAGTCGCGCGACGGCTCGTGTCGCCGTCCCCACGTCGCTGCAGATATGTCGCTTTCTAAACTTGTTCATCGACATTCCTATCCTTGTTTAAATCGTACACTACTGCAAAACACCCTTTTTAACTCAAAGATTTTTGTGTCGAATTATTGATTACCTAGGTTTCTCTGGGTGGGCTTTCTTTTGAGAGGGACTTAGGTATGTGAAACATCTGCCGCAAAAGGAAGTTTAGTTGGTGAAGAGAAGTGAGCTAAAGTAAAGAAGGCAATGTCTGCACGTTGAACCCGCACAGCGCGCTCGTTTGTCTCGAGTTCAGTAGACAAAGCGCTCCAAGAAATGTGCGCTCAGGTCCTTTTTTTCTGTGTGTTAAGCTTGTACCTCGCCTGCCGGCCTGGCAAGCACGCGCCGCTGGACCGTTTTTTTTTTTCTTTTTTTTTTTTTTGTCATATGCTGGACAGTTACGTTTTGAATACTATTTTGGGAATCAGTTGGCGACGGAGCGGAGTTTCATTGTTTCGGTTTCGATTGAACAGCCGTTGTCTCCGCTCGCGCGACGAAGCACATGCCACTGCAAGCCTGCTGAAGTTGACCTCACGTGCATGTGAACATGACTGCACGACAGAGGCACCAGCCGGGACGCTTGCAATCCATTGTTTTGCGTTTGCTTACTTTTGACGAAAGTCTGGCCCGTCGGGAACCAGTGAAACGGTGGCAATCGTTCTTTTCGTAATTACTCGGCAACGCCTACAACACTGTACTGACGTCTGAGCAGTAAAAACACTAACAGCTAGGGTGACCACCTTCCTGCTAGCGAAATGCGGGACGCGCAAGGGCGGGGGGGGGGGGGGGGGGGGGGGTGTTGAGGAAATATATTAACACACGCACCGCGAACCCAAGCTCTGTTAACACATCTAATATCATGTGCTGTTTATGCACCTGTTAACTGTATTGTGGCAATTAAGCTCAATTAATTTTCGCTCCTATTGATATATCTCTTATGCCA